AACGCTACTTAGCTCTCTCTCTACTCTACCAGTAGACTACCACATCCACCTGTTGCACAAAACGCACACAGAAGTGTTTCCCCTAGGATGGAGTTGTAGCAGCGGAGGTGAAGCACACGCATGAAAAATAATTTTCACATGCGTGAAACTTTTTTGTATGCTTGCAAAGCACAGCCTGCTGGGATGTTTCTGTGTATCTACTGGCACCAGAAGGGCTCTTTAGGACTAAGTACATACAGTACATGTGTGTACAGTATGAGCAGGTGAAATATCTGTCTAGCTTACATATGAGGTGTCTCAAGATTTAGGAACATACAATTTTATAGCATAACATAATAAAAGTAAAAAAGTCACTTGACATGCTGCTGTTTTGTGCTATGACCTATTTAAGTGCTGGAAGTTGTTATTTACGTGACGCCTGAATGCAACACAAGCTCAGCATGAGTCCCATGCTGCGCTGATGGTTATTACACACTGTCCATAACAATAACTTTGTCAGCTGACAAACTGCACCGGGCTCGGGGTCAGGTTTGGTCAGGAAAATGCGGCCCGAGCTGCTCTAGCGTGCTCACCTGTGTGTGTGTGTGTGTGGTGGAACTCCGCCGTGCGCGATACAGAGAGCAGAGGAGAATTGTTAACGCGTGACCATGTAGAGACAGAAATGACACAATGGCAAAACACCATAAATAGTATATTGTTATGTTATTATATGAAGTGTCCGTCATGCAAAATAATATCAATGGGGGCTGTGGGCAGGACATTGTTACACAGCTGTGCCTGTGACTTCAGGCAGAGAGACCGCTGCATCAGAGCCGAAGAAGCACGTTTTAAAATACATTTATTTTATCAACTAGTTATTAACTTTTACTATTTTTAGCAACTTGCCTGATCAGGCAAATGAGTTGTTAGTTTACATGCCCGACCTTGAGTTTTACTTGCCCCGGGCAATCGGGCAATCCTTATTGTTGAGCCCTGAGACAGTAAGCTTAACTTAGCATAAAGACCGGAAACAAAGAGAAACCGCTTGCATGGCTTTGTTTAAAGGTAATAAAATTCATCCAGCCGCACCTGGAGTCTTGTTGTCATCGACATCAGACCCCACAAAGTCACACCTCCTGGCCCCTGCAAAATAACAGCTTGTTGTTTTTTCACTTTGGTTTTTATGCATATTAAACAAGATGCAACACGTTAGTTAGGAAATGTATCTAATAGATGTTTGACTTTGTCTCATAGACTCTCCTGTTAAGAAGAAGAAACTGGGGAAAAATCCAGACGTGGACACAAGTTTCCTTCCTGATAGAGACAGAGAGGTAAGGAAAATAGAAATGACTCTTGTTGGAGGCTGTTTTTAAGAGGCAGAAAATCCTATTGAACAGGTTGTACACTGTGTCATTTTTATACTGTGACATACTCATTTGTTGTGATACCAGTCTTCAATGTTATGTTAATGCAACATGGCCGCCTTCCGAAAACCTTACCATCGGCTTTGTCTGCTTCTTGTGTTCAGGAGGAGGAGAACCGCCTCAGAGAGGAACTCAGGCAGGAGTGGGAGCTCAAGCAGGAGAAGATTAAGAGTAAGTGGGAGAATTACCTGCTGCACACACACACACACACACACACACACACAAACACCCCTTGTTATTAATTAAATTCAGTAGTGTATCCATGTATCTTTAACTCTGAACACAAGAACACAGTTTGTCCACAATGTCTACTTTTAGACAAAGATATGGGAGTCTTTTTCCCTGCTGTACGTACAAAACATACATACATGCACACTCACACATGTTCTCAGTCCAAAACAATGGTGTGTATCTATGTTGGCAGGTGAGGAGATTGAGATTACGTTCAGCTACTGGGATGGCTCCGGACATCGTAAGACTGTCAAGGTAAAGCACGATAAGCTGCAGCACTGGTTCACTGTTTTCAGTTTCTGTAAAGAGACAGACCTAGATGCAAACTCTATGAAGAGCATTGATAACAGGCTACTTCTGGGGCAGTAACAGTACACATACCCATCGTTACTTTGGTCAAACAACATGCTCAACATAGGGATTACTCTCGTCATGTTTGCACTGTGTCTTTGTGTGTGTTTTGCCTGCAGATGAAGAAGGGTAATACCATCCAGAACTTTCTGCAGAGGGCCCTGGAGGTCCTCAGAAAGGACTTCAGTGAGCTCAGGTGAGACCTTAAAGACAAAAGGAGTCTCAACCAAACTAGTAATGAATTGAATGAATACACTCTCTTCTCATCGTTTGTCAAAGCCATTATAATGACTGGCCATCGTCCTCACACGATTTCTTTTGTCCCACATTTCCTCCTGTTGTTTGACAGTGCAGGCAGACTATATTACCTTAGAGAAAAATACTGAGCTGACAAAACTTACTTCAGAGAAGGAAAGTGTGTTACGCTGTAATCTTTCAGTCAAGGTTCCAAAGGTAGTCTGGCCAGTGGGTGGTGTTATTTATTTTGGTTGCCTGGATATAACATGGTGGCCTGGTCTCATTTTACAGCTAAACAGTACACTAAAATATGTTTCTCAAGCATTTGGTGGAAATAGGCAACGCAGTAACAGAGTCTTGATTCACATATAATCAGTGCTGCCTAATTCGACAGTTTGACCGCAGTTCATGAGCAGTGACTGACATGTTTTACAGCTGTGTCAAAGACGCCTCGCCTCTGACTAGTTATTTTCCCTCAGTGTGGTTGATTCTTGCAAAGCACTATGAGAAGTAGGAGGAACATGATTTTCTTAGGGGGCGGGAACCAGGGTTGCAGTTGAAAGCTCATAATCTCTGATCTTATTTAAAAAAACAAACAAACCGTGATAGATGAACACTTATAATAGAACACACTTGGCTACATACACACACTTTAAGTCTCCCTACTCAGCCTGTTTAATTTTAAACACTGCAATGATAACATCAATCATCGTTATCTGCCACAGCATCTTTGATAATATTCAGATCCCACACATAGAGGCGTTAAACACGACAAATGTAATCAGTTTTCCATCTTACATTTTCCTGACTTGTCAAAAATAATTTTTATTGGACTCAATGTCTTCCTCGTGCAGGTCTGCAGGAGTAGAGCAGCTGATGTACATCAAAGAGGATCTGATAATCCCACATGTAAGTACTGACACGCCTATGAAAACCGCAGCTCAGTTGGATTTGATTTGTTTCATTTAATAAGTGCTGCAGCAGATTCAACACCTCTGATGCGTGTCTGTCTTTACGCTCCAAGAATAACTCTAGTGGCACTGGTAAAATTAATATTCCATTAAAATTATAAAAATTCTCAAACTGATCCAACTGTAAAAATCTAGAGTTGGATTTTATTCCTATGTTTGTGTCCTTGACTCAGTGTGAGTTCAGAGGTTAGTGTACTTCCTATCTGTCTTTCTAAAGTTTTTATTTAAATTTTGAAGGAGAAGGTGGAAGTGAAAGGATATTAAAGAAACACTGTATGAAACAATTTGTATTCATGCCACGTCACATGTTGTGACTGCCACATATTATATATCCTCATGCACATGGCTATATTTAGATGCTCATTCAAATTGCAAATATCTGTATAACAATACAGTAAACCGAAAGGTAGGCTGACCCAAAATATGAGATGGATAATTATATAGTATTATAAAGTGGAAACAGGCAACTCCCCTCTGCTTAATGTTACCATGTGATAGTGTTGTTTGCCCGCTGGCACAAAGAAAACTGGATCGCTATACTCTCCTCAGAGCTTTGCAGCTGCCAACACAACAGGACACACTGCATTTTGTTTCCCACAGTCACTTTGATTCCACCATCCACTGTTTCCTGTAACTGCAAGAACTATTTACATTGATATTCTTTGGTTTCTGGGCATAGCTACTGGGGAAAATTAAAGGCCCTAACCTCTTCCTGTTTTGGTAGCACAAGGGGTGCAGGGAGAGGAGGTGCTTCACAGGATGGAGGGTGATATCATGACAACCCAGTACCAAAACTGGAAATAAGGGGTTAGGGAATCTAGAGATTTTAAAAGGATTTTGGGACAATATAGGTGCTGTATAAGGAACAGCTGTGGCACTGAAGTTTATCATACTTTCTCTGTTTGTCTCATACAGCACCACAGTTTTTACGACTTCATTGTGACCAAAGCCAGAGGCAAATCTGGTAAGTGAACACCAACAGCTTTCAGCCCATTCATACAGAATATCTTGATTAGTTTTTACATACCATATTTGTTTCTGCACAATACATGGAACAGTATGAGTCTGTGTTTCCTGCCTTTGCACACAGTTTCATCGTTTTCCCCACAGGTCCTCTCTTCAGCTTTGACGTCCACGATGATATTCGACTGGTGAACGACGCCACTGTCGAGAAAGATGAGGTGATGATTTTATTTTAAAGCAAAAACAAAACAGTATTTCTGTTTATTGATGTGTGAAATTCTAAAATCAATAGATGCATTTGGTTATGCTTTCAAATCCCATGATCAGCTGCCACACCTCTTTCTTCATGATCCAAGATGTTTTTTCCATTGTAATTTTCTTGCTAAACTAGCTGTTACTGTCCATATTCATAGCACAGGTACTGATATTACTATGAAGCTAAATAGGCAACGAAGAATACTGTGATTGTCCACATGACGGATACTTTCTTGCTCATTTCAGTCTTCATACAAAGCAAGCACTCATATCCTGTAACTTTTATTTACGTATGCACAGCATTTAAAATCAGTGTCAAAGTGAACTCAATCGTGCTATTTTGTCTGAAGTCTCATGCAGGTAAAGTGGTGCTGAGGAGCTGGTATGAGAAGAACAAACACATCTTCCCTGCGAGCCGCTGGGAGCCGTATGATCCTGAGAAGAAATGGGACAAATACACGGTGAGTTGGTTTAGCCAAATGTTAGCGTACATTACCCAGTTTCCCTCTTAGGGATCATTCAAGGTTAATCTAATCCTAAATCTGATTCTTTCAAACAAGTAAAAAGGCTGACACACATTTTGATATTGATAACAAGAGACTCACAATGTGTTCATATTTAGTTGCAAGTCAGCAGCAATTATTGTGTTGTATGAAGTTGCTCATACATCAGACATCAACAGGTCTTCCTAGTTTTCTGGAATTTAATCTCTCTGGGTGATTCTGACCTCAGTGTGATCTCACCGTCATGCTCCTCTATTGGGATAAAACCGCCAGAAAATCTTGGAAAGCTTGATGCTATTCAGGTTAAGAGTTTGTCAAGACAGAAGCTGGATCTCCAGACTGAGAGACAGAGGAGAAACAACATCCATGCTGTCATTTACTAGGGTCCATACTAGGACCTTTATTATTTCTTATTTATAAGGACAATACCATTCCTCTTTGCAGATGACACCAGCATTTTTGTCCCAAATAGAAATGTAACAACTCTCATCATCACTCTTTTCTTTATGTGATCCCCCCCCCCTTTTTCTCTTTGTATTTATACATGTGTGAAACAAATAAAATAAATAAAATTTACTATGAGGCTAGACAGTAATTCACTATTATAATCTGTCCACTCTTAAATGTAACATATTATACTCTCCTATCAAGACCAGGGCCCCATTTCAGAAAGCAGGATCAGTGAAAACTCAGTTCAGTGTAACCTTGAGTCAGTTACTATGGCAACATACTCCATGAAGCAAACCTTCTGGCTGGCAGGTTTGCTTCATCTAAGCCTGAAGCTAATCGCCCACTGAGCGTGTAGCAGGAAGGAGAGACGTGGCCTGTCTTTTTTTGAATAAAGACGTAGACGTTTGAGGCACAAATTATTCAGAGGCTGCTGCGTAAGGAGATGGTGATTAGACCCTGTTTGGATGTCTTCTTGTTCCCAGAGGTGTGTCTATATGAAAGATACGGTTTCATCTTGGTCATATTGACAGAATGAAGTCAGTATAAGTATAATTTCTCACCAGTCTGTACAATATTTTTGTGTTTGATTTTGAATTGCTGCCAAGTGTGTTTGGGCCCCATCAGATTACAGCTGAATAAGAAGATATAGCAAATTACATTATAACATATGAACACTGTTATCATATAAAAATGTTTCTATATTTCCTGTATATTAGACATGCGTTAATGCATCACATTATATAATGTCATTTCACTTCACCTATTAACACACTCTGCAGTCTTTTTTTCCATGCCACCTCACGCTGTTTAGCTGCAGCTGCCGTAATAGATTTTTATTGTTAGACATGTTTGAAGTCCACATACGCATCATTAAAATCTTCAGTTCAGTCAGGGTGAAATAAGTGGTTTTGGTGCTCACCGTGAAGGCGCTTCCCTCTGGCAGAACATATTCAGAGTTGATTGAGTTAATCCTGATCATCTGTTCTGGAACCGAAAACTCGGAGATCCCCGGCTCAGGCTTAATCAACTTGGAGATTGGGATTAGGCTCAGAGTTTGTTAAGCCCGCCTTCTGAAATAGGGCCCTGGTGGTTAACATTTATAATCAGTTAAATCTGTCACAGCTCGAGATCTGAATGTTGATCTCTGTGTTGTTTCTGTTGGAGATCATTTCCTCCATCCAGCCTGCCATGTAGTATAATTACAAAATATTATATTAAAGTTAACACACATCAAAATGTACAAATTTAAATACATTTTTTAAAAAGTGATTTGATGATAATTATAAAATTTGATTCTAGTGAAGTAGTTTATAGCATATAATCATGAACACTACAGTTAATACTATAGTAACAGTTTTTAAATTGGCATCTAGTAGCAGCTACATAAAAATAACTCGTTAATTTTGAATGAAGTTTGTCTCAGGTATAAATTATATTTGAGTTGATTTTGGTATCATATTAAACCTCTAAACGCAGTCACATTAAGCCATTATCAGGGCCTGAATTTCAGCGTGGTACCCGTGGTGCTGATTTTGCGCATCATTTCGTTGAGTCTTGTAAATCAAGCAGTTATAATGAGGGAAATTCCCACACACATTTACAGCGATATCTAATCATTTTTACCCAAGATTTGCGCTGGTGTGAAATGCAGCCTGCGGGCAGACTGGTCAGAACACCAGAATGCTGCATCAGACAGACCGACTCCCACCTCCTGGACAACGGACCTGGTCCACTCTTTTTACAAGGCTACAAGTCCCCTCTCGGCTGCTGCTCAGCAGCGGCACGTTTAGAAAATATGAGTTTTGCCTATTTCTTCCCGGTGATGCACACAGTTGCAGCAATATTAAAGTAGTGAAAATGGTCCTTTGATGATCATATTGAGGTTCTGTCACCTTGCACTACAGTTTCAATGTCTTTATCCGTCACAGACATGAAAAATCTAAATACTGTGCACTGTGCCTCTTAACAGCTGATGTTACAAAACGTTACCTTCAAGTTGCCACTCAGACTCACTCTCCAGACAGCAGGGAAAGAATAGATCATGGGGACAGGAGAGAAGAATGAGCCGCCAGAAGAAAGACTAAGGACAGTGATGCAGCGTAAAGATATGACCTCTAGAGAGGAGGAGATAGAGACAACTAAATGTGACCATGTATAGAGTTCAGAGAATTCAGAGGAGAGCAACTAAGTGCAATCTGAGGTAAGGAATAATAGAACATAGGAATAGGTGTAGTTAAACTCATAAGTAGTATTTTACCCTCCCACAACCCATGCATTATGATTTCATGCCATATGGGTGATCTTTGCTCTGTGGCGAGATGTAGCCCATCTGTACATGAATTGTGTGTGCAGTTGTACAGACAACTGCACTTTCTCTTAAGTCCCTCATGGGTGCAATATTAGAACACATCTGTTTGTGCAAGGCCTTGTACTTTTTAAAGGGTGGTATTGGAAGGAAATTAAAATTTTTGTGGTGCTGGATGTTAGCAGCGAGAGCATATTTTCCGAACAATGGCTTTTTCAAGTCCTATGCTGGAAAAAAATGTACACTCACAACCTGTGAGTGTGTTCCAAAGACATACAAGTGTTGAAAGTATAAACTTGAGCCATTCTGTCGGGGAAACAGGATAAACAGCTCTTTGTGTGGCTAATAACCACTGTGTCCTTATGATTGTTCTGCGAGGAGAAACCTCTCCAGCATGGTGGGCCTGCCAACTTTTTCTTGCATGGGCACGCTACAACATACTAGTGCTCTATCCAGATGCCTGGCACAGACTGTAAACTGGTGCTTGATGATAAAGAAGGAGCTGCTGTCATTTAGTAACACACAACAGATTGGATCAGATTGTTTCCAGAGGAGGGTGGAGGTTAGGATTAAACAGGAATATTGTAACATATGTAAGTTATTTGAGGTTGATGTAATAGTTTGATTTACTGTTTGATTACACTGTGATATGTTTCAGCCTCTTGGAGTAACTTGGTTTTGTGTTTGTTTGCTTTTCAGATCCGGTGAAACAGCCGTCTTCTCCTCTCTCTGGAATCCTTGGTTGTCAATTTCCATTAACGTCTTTCATCAATGCTTTATTAAGATTTGATGAACTATTGATTAATTATTTTACTTGGTATTTAAAATACTAATTTCCAAAAATGTATTTGAATAGCCATCGCAATGTTTCCTGTGAAAACAACCCCACATTCATTTGTGTATAGCTCATAAACATGTTGTAGCATCTAAGCTTAATAAAGTGAACCTGGTTATGACTCACTGGGCTTCAGAGTCATTTGGCACCTACACTTGGATGCTTGTGCCTTTTGTTGGAAAGATGTTCATCATTCCTGCGTGTTTACGCCGCATGTCAACAGGCTTTTCTTGGCTGCGGCTGCAAACTGTAAATTGCATGCGACAGCCAAACCTGCTGTCTGCCTCCATGCTCTTACAGCACAAAATGAACTAGTCTGGCAACGCAACTGTTAAAACATGTACAGTGAGCTAGCTGGTTGCACCTCCACCCCCGTAGCCTTAAGACACCACTCCCCTCCTCGTCTCACTCCGTCGTTCCTGTCAACACTCTCACGCACCACTGAGGACACTTTAACATTAGATTCACTTTCCACACTTCTTACAGCCATTTAGTCCGCTGAGGGCGTGTGTTTCCTCGTGCGGGTTGGTTGGTCTGAGGTCTGGTGCTCACAGTTGGACCATGTCATGCTGGCTGTAGCAGCATGTTGAAGGGAGCTCTTGTTTTGTACTATTTCTTTGCACTTGATCAGCCGCTCTGGGCTCAGGATGATGTCACAGCTGCTGCCATCACTCCTCAGGACTGCAGCCTGGACTGTATACGACAGGTAAACCGGCTTTCTAACCTACTGTGTATTTACACAAGCTCTGCTTTGGGTCTTTGTTTTGTGTTGACATATAAACAGGCTCGCCTTCTGTTGTAGCTACTTTAATATCCTTATTTCATTTTGTGGTTTCTAATCCAGGTGGATATTTTTATGTCAATCTACTAAAACATTACAGCTGACCTGAGGTACACCCTGGTTAGGTTTGCTTTGCTGTTAAACAGGCTGCCTCCCCACCAGCTGCAACTGTTGGTGTTTCTTTTGGCTGCCGTGAACAGCAGAGGACCTGCTCTTCTGCTCAGACAACAAATGTTTGTGTTGAAGCTTAATTTGGGAAAGTCTTAGAACATTTCTGAAACTGTACAGACATTAGGTTCATGTGTGGTCATACTGTCTGGTTTATATTATAACAGGCTCTTATCCTTTGTCAATACGCATGACTTAACATAAAGGCTTGATCTCTGTCATGCGTGTCCTGTGATGTCAGCAACACGAGCCTCGGAGTGTTTCCTCCCTCTGATGCAGAGTTTTGGCAAGTTGGGATATAAAATATGTCCAGAAACCTAAAAAAAAAAACCCTGTCTTTAATGTGACAATGAACAGATGCATGTTTTGAGATGTTCTTCAAACCTGCATTTATGTGAATTGCCAAAAAATTCAACCTGACTTCTATAAGTAAAACAGACAGAGAGAAAATAATACCTCTCGTTGACTTGGTCATGACCTAAAGCAGTGGTTCCCAACCTGGGGGTCGGGGCCCCTCGTGGGATTGCAAGTTCAATCTGAGGGGTTACATGTGAACAGATTTGGAGAGCAGAAGTAAAATATTTCTGCTGGCACATTATTTTTCTGACTTTATTCTAAACAGTGTTTTTGCTCTTGAATCACTGGATGATTTTACGTCTTAAAGATTTCATAATCTGAGAAGGAAAAATGGCTCTTTGGTTGAACAGGGTATGTCACATGAGGGTAACTTTATCTAAGAGGTCCTAAGTGAAAAAGGTCAGAATCTACTGTCCTAGAAAAGAGAGAACTACATTTTTAATCAAAAATAAAATAAAATAAAAAAGAAACTAACATTTTTAATTAGAAGACTCAAGTTTTTCCAGCTAAAAACTTTAAGTGTCAAATGTCATCTGCTTCTTAATCTTTTCTGAATGTCCGAAGACATGTCTTTTCCATGGAGAAAAGGTAATTTGCAGATATTTTGAAGGCCTGAATATAATTATTAACATACATGTGCATTTGTCCCCCCAATAAAAACATGAAAGTAGCAGAACACTTTTATTTTCACAAAATTAAAGACACTTAAACCCTTAATTGATGCATAAAAGTTAATCAGAATGTAGGAAGTGTCTGATGCTCAAAATTTTCTCGCAGAGGACCCCCAAACCACCTTTTTCAAATGTGTCGTCCCCCCCAAGTGTTGACACGAAACCCATGCCCTAGACTATAAATACTGTATCTCCCAGCATGCCAGGTCAACACAACACACAGGTAAACAACTTCTTGCTCCATATTTGCTTCACAGCAGTCCAGTAAACTGTAATTTCCTCATATCTCCAATGAAAAAACCTCCACTGAAAACTCTTTAAACCAGACAAAACGCCTCTCTCCTGTACGTGTTCTAGCCTGGACCGGCCTGCGTCACTTCTGTGTGAAATGTCAGAAATATTGTACACGTGGTCTCAAATTGGTAGCTCCAGGCAACGGGTTGCTATCAGAAGTTTCAGCCTCTGTGCGAGAGTTGTTTACGTTCATAAAGAGTAAATGGACAAAGGAAGAATGCCAGTTTTCAACATGAGCCGAGCTCTAGTCCCAGTGTGTGTTACACAACAGTCCTCCCTGACTGACACACTGTCATTTGAGCTTCCCTCGTTCTGTATCAAATTTCTTTCGTCTTGTGTGAAGTGATCACAGAAAGTTTTACATTCAAAACCTTTTGCTGGTGTTGACTTAAGTGATCCTCTTCGTTTTGTATCATTTTCAGTTTTTCTAAAATGGAGGATCACAATATAACCTTTATTGACAGTGTACATATTGTGTGTCAGCCATGTGTCCTGTGTGTGTTTTGGAAAGTCCACCCACATTGTGAAGGTGTCAATTGAGGACGTGTCATTTGTGGCATCCATGCTAAGAACATTGATTATGTTCTCAACCTGCGTGCAAGTAAATATCCATGCTACAAAGACTTTTTGATGGCCATTACCCAACCTGACAGTTTAATTGTGTGAACCACCACAAACACTCTTTCTTTCTCTTGCCTTTGTCATTATTTCTTCCTCTCTAATTTTCTCCACCTGTTTGTCTAGTTACGGTCTCTAAACCTGCAGGGCAGAGCAGTCAGCAATATGAATGTGCGCTTCTGGTAAGACAGACACTAGCAGCATGTGATACAATAGCTACTGTGAATCATTACTATGGATTGTTATTCCCCATAATCAAACACCATTTTTTGGGTCTGTACTTGGCTCACTATTTAGGACATTTCTCCTGAGCCCCTGAACATCTGGCTTTTGTTTTTAATGGGAAAGGCTACAATCAGCATTCACTCCCAGGACAAATGACCCTGCAGTAGACACGGGTGTTTATTGGCTTCAGTTCCATGGATGTATAAAGAAAACTAGATACAGGTTGGATGAAGGGTCCTATTCATTCTGAAAGTTGCTCAGTGGCGCAGGAAGCCAAAAAACTACCCAGACCTTTCACATCATCGGGCCCATAGATGAAGCGCACTGGAAACTCCGCTAGCCAAGCGGCTAACGTCCAGTTTAGCCTTCTGCTAACTTGAAAAGGGATAAAATTATTAAATCATGTGGCTCTTCTAAACTTTCAAAATGTTACCAGACTGAATGGATCAAATTCTGATAATCATACAAGTCATTTTGTGGGGGTTGTGATGCTCAAAAAAACATTAGTCACTGATGCACAGACCTGTCTTTCCCAATGTAAGTCAATGGGAAAAAGTATTTTTGGACCCAGTGGCATCATGTGATGGAGCCAGAAGTTGCACGATTTGACCACTATCTTAAATTGGCTTCAAAGTCCATCAAAATCCAATTTTCGCCCCTTTTCTGGTGCAATGAAACGGCACACTGCTACAAAATACCAACCGTCTCCGTCCAAGCAGCGCTTGAAAGTCGTTCAAAATTAGTCTCCATTGAGTTTGAAAAAGAGACTGAATAACCACACATAAAAGAAGAAACCACTACATTTTCAATGGACTCGATGCTGCTTTCTGCTGTTTATTAACCCTGTTTTCTAGCACATGTGTGACACTGAACATGAAACACCAGCAAAAAACAAACAAACAAACAAGAGAAAGCTATACTTGTCCACTGCAGAGCTGTGTACACACCTCTGGTCTACTGGCAATGGGAAAGGAATCTACTTTTGCTTACTTTTAGTGGGCTTTCCAACATTAAAAACAACAACATATATGCACTAATTTTGGTGGTAGAGGGGTATTAGGGGTTTAAGTTTGTTTTACAGTACAGAGAGTGAAAACTCAACCCAAAAACTGAGAAAACATAAGAAAAAAAACATGATACACACTGTACTGCATTGTAGTGTACCCAAAACTACAATTAAATTGATTGACTGATTTATAATAGTGTATCTACTGATGTAGTGAGACAGCTAGTGTTAATGTCCAATCACATATTAAGTTTAGTTTAAGGTTAGGTTTAAACCCTTTTAGATTACCCTGAGCATATTGTTCACCTATTATATGTAGGTCTACCAGTCACCTATCATACATATATGTCCAAAAATCAATGTCTTCTTACATCAAATTCATGATTCATGATCATGTTTTCTTCTTGTAAAAGAAAATATGACGTGTTTGCCTAAGTTTGTACTGACCAATTTCATGACATCCACCCATCAATCAATCTGCACAGAACTAAGATTAGCTAAGCTAAGATAAGCCTACACAGCCCTCGTCTGAGATTTGGTAATCGTGGGGTTGTAGGTTTGTATCTGACAAGCATTTCAGCTGAAGCTTACTGGCCTTGTCAGAGGACGTCAGGTTTCTGGCACAGTGATGTGAGGTCAGAGCTTGTTCAACTCTGTAGCTAACATGGAACCAATTTAGGGAGGCGAGAATTGCAACACGATTTAACAATACTACAAACTACAGCCTGCAAATCCTCTGTAAATCATTTACATACAAATTTATTTAATGATGTTATTCACAGTTTATTTCTAACACTTTTTATATTGCTTTTTGTTTTGTTTATTTCTTGTCTCTGTTGCCAATTCCTTATTTCTCACTTGGTAAGCAGAGTGCGGTCTTTCACATTTCTTGCCACTGACCCAATCCTCCTCTCGGCAGGTGAACACAGACCATGAGTAATCAAATGTGATTTTTAATTTAGGTCAACAACAATTGGCCTGTGTTGGCGTGTAAAACTGTGTGCACATATCGGTTGTTGTGCTGTGTTTCCTCTACATTGTTTTGTGTTGTTCATTTTTCCAGTCTGTTCACCTGATTGCAAAATGGCACAATTTGCAAACGACATTCAATATGCACAGGTACAAATGCAGCTGAGAGTGTTGGATTCATTATTGCTTTCTCCTCTGCAGGGTGGACCTGGATGTGAATACTGCAGAATAACCAGAGCTGATGTCAGAAAGGCTCTGGGATTTAACTCCCTTCAAGCATTTGGAAGTAAGTCTGATTGTGAACCCACAATTAACTGCATTCTGCGTGACTACAAAGAATTACCCTGACAAACTTTGTTAAACATTGAATGCACTAATACAGTAATTGCGCAAACATGCACTGCTCAAAAAAAAATCAAGGGAACACTTAATGGTCACATTATAGCACCAAGTCAGTTCAACTTCAGGGATATCAATCTGTTCATTTAGGAACAGATTGTAAATCAGTCTCACCTACTTAGGTGCAAAAAGAAGTGACAACAGGTGCAATGGAGAGGCAAAAGCAAGACAACGTGGTGGCCACAGACAGCTGCTCTCTCATTATACTCCCTGACTCATTCTTCTCTAGTTTTGTCTTCTGCTAGTGTCCTTGTCACTACTGGTAGCATGAGGCGGTACCTGCAGCCCAGTCAGGTTGCACAGGTAGTCCAGGATGGCACATCTATACATGCAGTCGCAAGAAGGTTTGCTGTGTCTCCCAGCACAGTCTCAAGAGCATGAAGGAGATATCAGGAGACAGGCAGGTACACCAGGAGAGCTGGACAGGGCTGTAGAAGGGCATCAACCCAGCAGGAGGACCGGTATCTGCTCCTTTGTGCAAGGAGGAAAAGGAGGAGCACTGCCGGAGCCCTACAAAATGACCTACAGCAGGCTGTTGGTGTGCATGTTTCTGACCAAACTGTCAGAAACAGACTCCATGAGGGTGGCATGAGGATCTGATGTCCTTTAGTGGGACCTGTGCTCACAGTCCCATGCAACTTGATCAGTCTGTATCATCATCCAGCATGACTGCTTTGGGGGTGGGTCAGTGATGGTGTGGGGAGGCATATCCTTGGAGGGTCACACAGACCTCCATGTCATAGCCAGTGGTACCCTGACTGCTGTTAGGAGGAAATCCTCAGAGCGATTGTCAGACCTTACACTGGTGGAGTGGGCCCTGGGTTCCTCCTGGTGCAGGACAGTGCCTGACCTCATGTGGCCAGTGTGTAGGCAGTCCCTGGATGATAAAGGCACTGATGTCACTGACCATCCCCTTGTTCCCCTGACCTAAATCCAACTGAGCACCTATGAAACATTATGTATCGGTGCATCTGACACCAAGTACCAACACAGACTGTCCAGGAGCTCACTGATGCCCTGATCCAGGTCTGGGAGGAGATCCCCCAGGATACCATCCGTTGACTCATCTGGAGCATGCCCAGATGTTGTCGAGAGTGCATACAAGCATGCAAGATCACATTACCAGTCGCAGTGATAAAATTCACATTGGATCAGCCTGTGATTCAATTTTCTAGTTTGATTTTCGGTGTGATTTTGAATCCAGCCCTCAGTGGGTTAATGATTTTGGTTTCCATTGACTGTTATCACATTATTTTGTTCTCAACAAATTATGTAATGTACATCAGTAAAGACTTTACACTTGAATAATTCGTTCATCAAAATGTGATGTGTGATTTAGGTGTTCCCCTAATCTTTTTGAGCAGTGTATTTTGGCAGCAGTGAGATGTTGTACCCTTAAGGTCTATATCTAGCATGTCCTAACCCTAAAGGATATTCCTGGTAAACCCATGTAAAATATTTATCAAACTTGTTGCTGCTGGCAACAGTGCTAATATTTTATTTTGATGAAAAATTCAACAATGTTTGACCCAACTGGATTAATGTCAAAAAAAAGGAAAATCCAACGCACTCTTCTTTAAATGTATAGAAAGCCTTTATTCAAGAAATGGCTATTTCATTTAGAAAAAGTTAAAACATGATGAAAGTGGGTTACAGCCTATGCGTTTCGGCACAAAAGCCTTCCTCAGGGTGTGATTAATGTCAATCTTGGGAAGGTTACTTTTGAAATGTAATAGCCTACAGATAAAGCTATGAGTTACCCTGTTAAAAAATGTAATGAGTTATGTATTTCAAATATGCCATCAAAGGAAAGTAACTTATTGCATTTTATTGCTTTCTGTACAAATGGGCAATAGCTGATTGGCTTGATTAAAAAGACATAGGGTGGTGCACATTTAAACAAGAGAACCAGCCAAAAACAATGCTCAAACTTTGAGGGCATACTGCCAAATGAATGGAGCCTGTCTGGGCAGAGACACAACTGTAAGCCATCTGACTTGATGATATTGTATTCAAATTAGTTCTAATGGATTTGCTTATCCATGCTGTTCGCAAACATGCCAACAGATGGCATTCCTGCACACCAAAACAAAAAAAAAAAAAAAAAAAAAAAGCAACACTGAATTAATGTGAAATTCTACATATAGCCTAAACTTAAATTGGATTACAATTTTTTGTAAGTAAGGGGCTGTTCTTTATCAGAGGAGGGGGTGCCTGGGGTGTGACTTAGTTTTTGTTTGTTTGTTTGTTTGTTTGTTTTATTGTCTCTCCCTGAAGATACAAATATTTTTCCTTGAGCCTCCTTGAGTAACTGGTGGAAACTGCATGACTCTCCCTCAATCATAAACTAGTCATTAGATTTTTAAAACTTACCCGTTGATGTTTGAAAGTTAAAAGTGAAAAGTTGAAGACAAAATCAAGGAGTTGAAAAAAGCCTCGGCTTTTCACTCTTGTTGTGCATGCTGGTGAGCTACGGGGCACAGGCCCAGGGGCCCAAGGTCTAAAGCCTGATTTATGGTCCCGCGTTAAATCAACGACGTCGCTACGTCGTAGAATACGTGGCTACGCAGAAGGCTCGCCATAGCCCCCGGCGTAGCCTGGCGTGCACCTCCCCAAAAATGTAACTACACGTCGAGGCGACGCAGACCCAGCGCAGACCGAGAGGGCTGTGATTGGTTTGCTTGGTAGCAATGCATTTCCGGTTCCGTATTTCCAGATTGCGCCATCCCCGCCATCTTTAAACATCTTCTGTTGCGATGTAGATATTGCAGTATTGAGGCCCATTTATGCTCAACGTTCAATACGGATACGGACGGAGCTGCCTGCTCCGCGTTCATTTCTCTGTGACCGGAAAAGCCGGAAGCTAAACAAAGAATCAACTAGAGACGACGATAACCATTCAGGAAGGGAACGCAGCCTCCTACCGCTCTGGCAGTGAATTGCACCGCGACGAAATGGAGTGACGGAGAAGTTCGAAGGGTTCACGACGGTGTCACGGCAACGACGTAGGTACTTTGTAGGTACGCCGCAGGACCATAAATCAGGCTTAAGGAGGGGCGCCTGGCCCTGTGCCTGCAAAATGGCACTAAAATTAACACAAAAGAAGCTTCAAAATTACCACATAGAGATGCAAAGGAACTGCAAAGAGACACAAAATAACTACAAGAAGGTGCAAGACAACCACCAAGAGACATAAAATGACAAAAAAGACACAATTACCTGATAGAGACACAAAATTACCTCTTAAAAATACAAACTACAAGGAGATGCAAAACCACAAAAAGAGGCATTTCGACTACAAAGAGATGCAAATCAACAACACAAGAAGAGGCTAAACAGCTATAAAAGTGTGTGTCTTGCTCCAATGTAGGAGAGGTAGGGGGCCCTTTTGCATATCTTTGCCCAGGGGCCCACTGTTTGCTAATACGCCCCTGCTAGTTAGTTAATGCACACAGTTTATTTTTTGTCCAAATTTTTAATCAGATGTAAAGAGATTTTAATAAAATATCATGATTTAAAGCTCAGATTTTAGATAATTTTTTTTTCTGATGGAAGCAATTGTCACACAGAAAGTGTCCAAGGACCATTGGAAATTTGAAAATCCAATGATAATTTCTGTTTTTACAATTTCTGGCCATGATAAATGGTAAAATTTAAAATTTTGGCAGCAGGTTTGGAAGGCATGTTATCTTTTAAAATTGTTGGTAAAATAAATACACAATACAACCATGTGAATTTGTATGCCCCTCCCTTAAACCAAAATAGAAAATATAAGGCCTTCCCTAGTGCTTAAAAAAATATTTGACATGCCTCCCCATTTGTGCACCACCCCCTGCCCCCTCATAAATAACAAACACTCCCAAATTGTCGTGGATTACATGCATTCATTTTCCATAAGTGCTTATTCTGTTAGGGGTTGCAGGGGGGACTGGAACCTATCCCAGATGACACTGGGTGAGAGGCAGGGTACACCCTGGACAGGTCACCAGACTATAGGGCTGACACAAAGAAAGACAACCATTCACACTCACATTGACACCTACGTCCAATTTAGAGTCATGAACCTAACCTGCATGTCTTTGGACTGTGGGAGGAAGCTGGAGTACCTGAAAAAAAAAAAAAAAGTTGACACAGAGAGAACATGCAAGCTCCACACAGAAGGGCTCCCCCACCCTGGGTTTCGAATCCTCTTGCTGTGAGGTGACAATCCTAACCACTTTACCACCGTGCGGGCCATTACATTCATTCATTTTCTGTGACCGCTTATCCTGTTAGGGGTTACGGGGGAGCTGGAGCCTATTCCAGCTGACATTGGGCAGTAATTACCATATTTTGATATTTAATTACATTACAACGTTACATGTAACTAGTTACACCCTTCCTTATTTATAAAATAAATATTTATACGTTAATCTTTATCCCTGCTTTATTTACAGTCTATGCTTACACCCTAGCACTTATTAACGTTAACTAACCACACAATTATTTTTAACCAAGCTAGCGCTGTAGTTCAGACGGCTAGCAATGTCCGATATTTGCTTGGTCAACCGCTTTAGTTCAGACTTTAATATCTCAACAACTATTAGATGAAATTTGGTTCACAATTATGTTCCAAAGGATAAACGGAACAACTGTGGCTTTACTGATCCTCAGACTTTTAATCTAGCTAATTATGCTAGCTAGTCATGTTCAGGTCAAAATTTTACCTTGTATAATGCTTTGTTTTATGAACAAATAGGCCTACTGGCAAAACTATTGACATGCCCTACAACCTCAAACCTACTTTGTGTTGAAGCAAAATAGCAAATGTTAGCATGCTAACATACTAGGTAGATGTAATAGCCTATTTCCTGCTAAACATTAGCATTTTAGCATTGTGACTGTGGGCAGACTAGTCTTTCTTAAACATCGTTTGTTCTTTTACATTAAATATCCAGAAATGTATAGAGGGTTGCAGGGATGATATTTTTATGAAGGCCGACCCCAAAGTTAGCGTCACCCTGGTTCCCTTAATATAAAGCCTATGGTTGTTGGATTATGCAATCGCTTAAGTAAAAAGCTGATGTTAGGCTATAAACAAACTTGTCAAATGATTTAACATTGCAACAAGGCTGTAAAGCCATGCTTGGTGTGATGACACTGTGGTTTCATTTAGCTACTTGTTAGCAACAGCATTTCTGAAGGCATGTAAAAGCTTCAGAATTTACGAGTGGCGTATTTATGATGTTCTGAACAAAATATGAAAATCTTAAGCCTGTGTTAACCGAATGACTCTGAGACGAGGGAACTGAAAGTGCAAAGGTGCTAACTCATTTCCCCATTTTAGGACTCAATCTGGCAACACTATGTTGATTCTGACTAGAGATCATAACGTGCTGAGAATATCTAAGACACTTTGACCTTCTTTGTTTCTATTGTTATTTCTCCTCAGGTTGTATTCCCTGGCCATGTTTCAAGTTGCTTGGGGAGGAGGACCCTAAAATCTGTCAGCACTACGTCCAAGCACCAAATGATGTAAAGGTTGAGGTTGTCAATGAGCTAAACCCCAAATCTGACGCCATTGTTGTCTCCTGGAAGCCAAGCTACTATGGTATGCTGAAATGGACTGACAAAGCCAATTTCTGTATGCAGTTGTTGTATGGTCTTTACATTGGGTGGAGGTCACAAAGTGGTTTGGTTGGTTTTTGAGTCTCGAGGCAGTTTTGAAACTAATACAAGATGTCAGACAGACACAAGCTCCCCAAAGTAATTTCTCCTGTCAGGGTTTGACATAAAAAAGATTTATTTCACTTGACACACAGTGAATCATTACTGGAAGGTGAAAATGTTGTCAGGCATTATAAGAATGTATGAGAGATGCTTGTTTGATTATTCCGTGTATGACTGGGCCTTTGACAGGTGACAGCGTAACAGACGTTGGAGAACATGCAGCACACATTTGACTTTGAAGTATATCTGCAACTAGGATGTTGGATTGCCGCTGAGTCTGTGACACTGACTTCACTCTGTCTGTTTTGTGTTTGCTGCAGGAATTGCCTTCCTGCGAGGCTTTCAGGTATCCCTGCAGGCTTTGGGAGGGTCAAGTGTTGCTTGTCAGCTCTTTCTCTTTCACCGTAACCTCTCCCTCCCAGCTTCACACGCTGAAATGGTAGGAGGGCCTTTGGCCTTTTTCAGTCAAGAATGTTGTTTTGACAACCCAAAATTTATTCGCGTTACAAGTATAGAATTCTCACAGCTTTTGCTTAAAGGAACGCTCACAGCTAATTTCAAGTTGAACCAATAAAACAGCACTTTTCATATAAATGTATTTCTATAAAGTTTTTTATTTTTTTCAGTGAGTCAATCCTAAATCTCTTCTTCGTACAAAAGAAACTCCCCGGGAAAAACATACTGGCACAAAGTGTCTTTTAGTACTCACAAATTATGACCTAGTGATTGTGAAATGAATGATGCTATATTTTAAGTGAGCTCACAGTGACATAATCCCCCCAAAAACAGAAAGTATATCCTAAGAGGAAACAGCTGCGCATTTTACACTTAAGATCTTTCAAAAGCAATAAACCTCACAAGGCAAGCCTATTATTTATGTCGCCTTTTGTTATGCGAATGTCCTGGAGGACTGTACGTACCATGTCTTATATGAGAACATGCACCACTGGATACGCTCTTAACTTTGGGAGCTGCATACTTTTGATCAGTGATCAGAATCCCACACTCTCCATAGTAGCAGCTGATAGTGATGACAATTTAAATGAATGTGTTTTATGTCTGACAGGTGTTTGTCCCAGCTTTGACGATGAGGGAAATATATTATTGCACAGTATTGTGCCAGTGCTAGGCAAAAACATTTCTGTTTCTGACATGTAACTACAGTACCAGTCAAAAGTTTGGACACACTTTCCCATTTACTTGAATGGAAAAGTGTGTCCAAACTTTTGACTGGTACTGTATGTCTATGTACGTCCTTGAGGGGTCATCATAGAAGAGAAAGAAGGACGGAATAAAAGGTGTAATGAGATTTCAACCAACAAGCGACCTTTCAGAAATGTAGTACATTAACATCACGGTGTCTTCAAGATAGAGACACTATGTCATGAAAGTGACCTCCATGTTATAGTTAACTAAAAGGGCTTTTATACAGCTTTACTACACAGTATTCATCTAATAAAAACTTACAAGGGACTTTACAACAGAAAAATAAAGTGTTGTCTAATGCACACCTGGAACACAGATGCCTCACATTCCCACAAAGAAAAAGTTACATTCTTGCACAGCGCTAGCGCAGAGATACAATATGTCAGTCGCAGGCATCAGTTGCACAACATGAAACCACATGAAACATGTTTATACTGGAGCTGCAGGATCATAACCAAGTCATCTTTATAACCCTAAATAAAAACAAATTCTACAAAAACAAGTGGGAATTCGCAATAGCTGCAACTGCTGTATGTGCACGCATGCATCCATACGTTCATGCATTCACACAAACACATACCACCCAACTTGTCACTAGTCCATTGATGTCTCCCTACAACAAGCGGTTCATGAGTTATGAAAGGGGTTATGGCAAAATGATATGTTTGTACGTGTGTGTGCATGCACACACACGTACATGCACACACACACACACACACACACACACACACACACACACACACACACACTTTTTTTGCCCCTTATATGATTTGGCTCATGATCAGTCTTTCCACTAAATCTTGTGCAAGTCTTTGAATCCATTTGGGAGTTATTTAACGTTTAAAGATATCAGACAGGTGGAAATACCTTTTTGAAAAGTAGAAATTAAGAAAACCATACTCATGCTGAATATCTTAAAAATAGAAAGAAAATCATAAAGTTGAAAAAGGCGAAGATAACATGAAAGCTGTTTTCTTTAACCATTAATAAAGCCTATGTCAAAAACTCTTATCGCACCTTATCAGTTAAAAGTGTGCAATGTGTTTAAAGAAAACCAAGGTCATGTTTGCCGTTGTATTCCGCAGGTGTACAAGTCAGACCCTTTCCCCGGCCTCCCCCTTGGGTCCCAGTATGCTGTAACTGTCATGGCTCTGCCAGTGCCTGAGGAGTGGGAGAGGTTCTACCGCAGCAAGATCTTCTCCACACGCTGTAAGACCTCTTTAAGCTCTACACCAGGCATTTCCAACATCCGGCCCAGGGGCTAATCGTTGCCCATGGACAAAGTTTAAGTGCCCCACAGCTTGTTGTTCAAAATATACATTATGTGGCCCACTACACAATGTTGGTTTAATAAAGCAAGATTACTTTTATTTTTCCATTCAACTCATGATAGCAAGACTATCATACAGTTGTAGATATGCACCACGTAGGAACTGCGCAGGTGGAGCTGATGTAATTTCCTAAACAGATGATAAACCAGCAAACCTTACAGCAGATATTTCCTACTAGGTAGCAGACATGGCCACAGTGAAGAAGCGTAATGTCTACAGCGACAGCTGTCGCTTTCAGGAGCGATGAAAAGTTGAATATTTTCTCACAAAGAGATGAAACAGTTGCATCTGTCTCATTCGTATGGGATTCATTTTTTCTTATTCGTAATAACCCATATGATGCAAGAAGCAGCTGTTCCCCAGGTATTTTCACATTATGTGATTGGGCCCCCCATTTAAAGTATTTTGGACACACCTGCTCTCAGCTAGATATAATCTTATAAGGCACACACACACACACACACACGCTTCAGGGTATCCTTTACAATTTAAATATGTTCTTCTTATTCGCAGTGCACATACCACAGTAATAATTACATCTAATGCTCTGTCATCAGGAAGCTCGTCTGCCCTTTGAACATTGCTCTCTTCTTCATATATATAATAATGTATTCATTATGATTTTGCAGCATGTGCAGAGAAGAATGGTCTTGAGCAGTGCAAAAAAGGTGAGAGAAAATGTTCCTCAAAGCTACCAAACAAACTCCAGTCTGGTACAGTTATGCCACATTGTGATTACATGCTTCTTCTTATGATCAGCTTTACTTTATTTCATGGTCTGCTTGTAGACTGGTACCCCAAACATATTGAGGTCCAGCAGGAAGGGACTGCCATCACCGTGACATTTAATCTGGCTCCCCCGAACCTGGGCATCAGAAGCTACTTCTCACTGTGTTACGCGAACGGCAAGAAGAAATACACAGACATCACGCCTGTTAGTGGTTTCAACCTCTGCATCTTTATATTTTGTTTTCATTCAGTGCATGAACACCTTGCTTCTGTTATTTGTTCTGTAGAAACATTTGACAATCAAGTAAACTTAATAATTGTACTATTTCATTTCCTTAGAATTCCAGCAAAAACAAAACTCACCACAGCTACCAGCTGAATGATCTTCAAGAAGGAACCAATTACACATGTGAGGTAAAATAAAAAATGGATTATAACTAAGACATGAAACAGATTGCATAATATCTGAAAGTACTATAGTTTATAGCAAAAACAAAAAACTCTGGGGGCTTCGTGTTTAATAAGTAATATTAAAATACCAGCCTGGAAACTATATGTTATATGGGACTCTATTAATGTTCTTTCATTTACTTTGTCTTGAAATGAAATTGGGTGCACTATCCCTTTCAGTAGCTATATGTTAAATTTTCCGTCAGAAGTAGGTGGAGACCAAAGCAGAGCTAAAACAAGAGAGAATATTGGACTTATGTTCATCAGGTGGCCAGAAACACAAGTCCAAATAAGTGCTTATGTTGCTCCCTTTCTGCTGAATAAATAGGCAGCTGTTTGCTGACACATTCACGACATCAACTTTATAAGGTGATACTGTGTCAGTGTTCTGTTTACAGCTTGCTACGCTGCCCCCAAGTGGCCAAAAAATAACAATTACAATTTTCCAAGGTCAAGAATAACTTTCAACATTTCTTGTGTCACAGATTGCAGCCAATGAAGTGGATGCAGTGAGGAAAACATTCAGTGTTCAGGTCATGCACATTCAAAATGGTAAGAGAAGCTGTTTTGCTGCTGCTGCTGCTGTTGCTGCTGCTGCTGCTGACATACGATATATCATAGCAGATGTTATACTAACCTCATCTTACTTTTTGTGGTAGAGATTTGACAGACACAGTATTTTCTACATGTCTGAACAGCCCCATCAGTCTTTCATCCTTTAGAGAAAATTTGGAGAATATCTTTTGCATTTCTGTCCGGAGTTAGATGAGAGATTCACGATCATCAAAGACATGATCGATCTTCTTGGCTAACTCTCTGCAGTAATGCAAATAAGCTCATTTCCCAATATGTCTTTGTAACTGAATTGTCATGTATAGTAACTACTCCCCCCATCCTCAGGAGGTTCTTCAACACGCTCTGTCACCCCCTCATTGGCTCTGATGATTCCACTGTGCCTGGCTGTGGTAGCCATAATTGTAGTCCTACTCTTTGCTCTCATCAGGAGGAGGACCAGGCTACAGATAACGAATCTTGACATAAAACCAGGTGCGAAAACAAACCGAGCACTTTATGTAAAATCACAGTTTGAAGCTAATTTGATAATTCATAATTGTTATTTTTACACCATTTGACAAAGACCTCCCATCTGTCTTTGCTGTTACCAACATCATGTGAAACATTAACAGATTATTTCTCTGTCATTTGTTCAGATCTTATCAAGCAGCATAAAGAGAGCGGGACTCAGGAGGAAGTGACATCACTGCAAAGAAACAGGCTGACCCCTCCTCGTCTTCTGATTTGCTACAGCAGCACTGATGGCCCTGCTCACGTCAAAGCTGTCATGCAGTTAGGGGCCTTCATACAACAGCACATGGCCACTCAGGTAGTGGAAGTGACATCCCATAGCTCTAATGCATTTTGCTACATGTTGTCTGTCTTAGTCAAATCAGAAAGGCAGAGACAAATTAAAAATACAAAAGGATAATCTTACAAAGAAGAATATGTTGTCCATTTCTTTGTTTCGTCTTAAATGAGAGATAGGAGCAGGGCTAAATATGTTATTAGATCAGTTTGTTGTGACACTACTCTTTTTTTTCTCTCCAGGTGTGCCTGGACCTGTGGAACTCTCTGAGCGTGGCTGAGGAGGGCAGTATGGCCTGGCACTGCCGACAGATTAGGGAGAGCGACTTCATCTTGGTGATCTGTTCCCAAGGCCTCAACCACAGACCGCAGCCTCCACAGGGTGGTGATGATGGCGAGGAAGTAGACAGAGAGCTTGTCTTTGGGTCCAACACCTTTAGCTCCAACGCAGCCGTCCAACTTATCGGAGAGGAGGTGGGCCGAGCCAAAACCAGGGGCCAGGACCTGTCCAAATACATGGCAGCCATTTTTGAGTACTCTAAGGAAACGGACATCCCCACTGAGCTGAGGCTGGTATCTCACTACATGCTGCCAAGAGACTTACAGCTGCTCTTCTCTCACCTCCACGGGGTGGCTCTGCACAGGCCGGGCTGTTACCTGAAGGTAAACCATATCTCAGAGGAAGGCTTTACTGAGTTACCGGCCGGAGCAGCTCTGCAGTGGGCTATCTATGAGGCTCGGATGGCAATGACGGCAAAAAGGCATCACTATGCAGAGGGAGGGGACTAAGCAGTAAAAAAAAGAATCCATACTCCCTGACTTAATTATAGTTCTCAACCCAGTGTAGGAGAAAGATAGGCCTGATGAAAACTACCAGAAAAACTGGCCAGACAAGAGAAGCTGTGAGCTCACAGCTGGAACATCTACATCCTTGCTGCTCTGCCCTTAAGAAATCGACTAACGACCTATGCCTCAGTTGTGGCAGCCACCGTGCACTTTGACCTCTTAAATGTGTTACATGCCACGTATGTGTGTGTACAATAAGGATATGTAAAAAAAAAAAAAAAAAAAAGTGTCATGTAAAAGTATATTTGTAATATGGGCTTGTACATAAATTAACTATTAATCTCAAACATGAGTCATTTAAGTATTCTGTGAGAATGTTTACCTTGAAGTACACATTGTGTAAATGCATGTTTAAAGTTTTGTTTATAGTTTATTTATGCATGTGCATATCTCATATACATAAGAATGGATTGATAGGTCTTATCATTTTTAATTTTGTGCTGAAGCAAGGTTACACGTGGATAAATCGTCTTGCATTTTGTATTTATTCTTGTGAAATATGGATTTTCATTTTTATTGTGCATCTAATCATCTAAGTAAAATATAAGACTAAAACAAATGTTCTCTGGCTCATCAAATACATGTGATGTGTTCAGTGTTGGGGACGCTACTTTGGAAGCAGGGCTTTGCAAGCTGCTTCACACTGGAAGAAGTTGAACTACAGCAAAACTACCCACAGGAGAAATATAGTTTGGTTACAGCTAGTACTAGTTGTGGTCAAAGGGGGCTCAATTACAGTAGAGATGCAATGGTAATATAAAAATAAAAGTCGTTGCTTTCCTTTTATGGTCCAAAATTGGGAGCTTCTCGCGAGATTTTGAAGTATCTCGTCTCCTCGTTCAGGAAAAAAAATTCCACAAAAAAACAATAAAAAAAATACCCCGAAAAACAGAAAGAAAATACCACGAAAAACAGGGGGGAAATTACTCGGAAAAACAGAAAATGTTACTCAGAAAAACAAGGAAAAATTACTCAGAAAAACAGAAAATATTACTCAGAAAAAACGAAAAATAAATAAATTACTCAGAAAAACAGGGCTTTTTTATGTTAACAGAAATTAAATATATGAGAGCAATTAGCCTACACCTAGTTCACTACTTCCCAACACTGGGAACATTTATTCACAATCCTGTTGATGACTGACTGAGATTCGCAGGTGTTGCTGATGCTGCAGGTTGCCAGACCGGCGGACAAACCTCTAATATTTTTGTATCTAAAATAGTATCTTAAAGCATCGGAATGAAATCGATTAAATGGCGTTTTAAACCGTTTTTAAACACCAGCGAAGGATTGGTTGTAATTAAGTCACAAATCAAATTGTGAATACGATTTAGTGACTTGACCAACAAGACCTGGCAACCCGGTTTGAGTCGTCATCGTTGTGAGCTCATTCAAGCTCTCTCTGACAGACAGCGTGGAAAGATGGTGCTCGATTTGGACCTGTTTCGGACCGACAAAGGTGGCGATCCAGAGATCGTCCGCGAAACTCAAAGGAAGAGGTTTAAAGATGTCACGCTCGTGGATAAACTGGTCGCCGCGGACACAGAGTGGAGAAAATGTAAGCGCCCTTTCACTTTTGTTTCAGTCATAGTAGCTAACGTTAGCGCGGTGGCTAATGATGCTAATGTGTCCGCTGGCGGAGAGCTAACGCCCAACTCCATTACAAAAAGCTAGGGTTTTATAGTCAGTGTGCGATTACAGCTATGTGTTACATCCTGTGTGAGACGCTTAAAGACCTCACGCATGAACAGGACAAAGTCTCAAATTCGGCACCTTGAAATGTGTAAAACAGATCTAAATAATATATTTTTTACAATGATTTCGCTTGTTGACTCTTTCGCTTTGCCACCGCAGTAACTTGGGTGAACGTAATGTTAACGTAATGTTCATTGCAGTGGTCTGCGAACCTTTTCAGAAAGTCAACTAAACTATTGAAGTATTTAACGTTTTACTTGGTACATTGTATTTGTGCCGAACGTACCGGTGGACATTATTTTAACAGGCTGTGAAAAATTTACCTTGTACAAGACGTGAGAGTGTCTCAGTAAAGGCGGCAACAATTTTTACAGTCATATTTGAAGGAGGTCTGGTGTGGTGTTATCACAGAGGAAGAGAATACCACGCAATGTGGCTAATGTTAGCGCAGCTAGCACCATTTAACGAGTGAGCCATATGGTTATACCCCACATAGTTCACTGTAGTTACTTAGTGTCAGATTTTAATAGATTTATGCTAAGCTCTACTCATTCGCACATAAGTTTATCGGCAGATATGATACAGTGTTAAATGCTAATGCTAGGTTAGCTTAGCGATGCCGGGTAGTAATGTGCAATCTGATGCAATCCCAGCCACGAACAGGAAAAGTCAACCTCGCCCTGCAGTGTAGCTACAGTCTGACCCAGCATGATGACGTGACTGGTTTTTGCAGTACATTAGTGTCACTGTTAAAGAGACCAAGGTTGTTATCATTAAATCGTTGTTTTTGATTGCATGAGGGTGAGCTACAACTGACAGCAACACCTGTCACCAGGTTAATAGTCCTGCTGCTGCGACTCACATACTCATAAGTGCAGTCCCATTCACTGACTTACTGTGATTTACCCCCTGACAGGCCGCTTCACTGCAGACAACCTGAACAAAGCTAAGAACCTATGCAGCAAGAGCATTGGGGAGAAAATGAAGGTACGGCAGCATCAGTGACTGAACAGGTTAATGTAGAGTGAGACAGGAGACATCTCACTGTCAGCATGAGAAGAAGCTTTAAACTTTGTCTTCTTTAACATGTATTTATATTGGGATTGCAGAAGAAGGAACCAGTTGGGGAAGATGATTCTCTACCTGAAGAAGCACAGAACGTCGAGTCCCTAACAGCTGAGACACTCTCGGTATGACTGTCTGGGCTTTTAGCGCTTATCCCAGCCTGTATGGCAGCTTTTCTGCATGTTGTCACACAAATCTCTGATAGATATAACATAAAGCACACACACACTGCCTACTCTCTGCTTCTCCTTACTTGTTTGCATTTTACATTTTTCTGTGACAGGGCCTGACGGTAACGCAGATCAAGAAGGTGCGTTTATTAGTGGACGAGGCGGTGGAGAAATTTGACAGCGAGAGGATAAGGCTGGAGGCAGAGCGCTTTGAGTACCTGAGGGAGATCGGCAACCTTCTGCACCCATCTGTGCCCATCAGTAATGATGAGGTGAGTGGTTTCATCATGTAAACAAACCACATATCAGTTGTGCGCTCGAGATCAGACTGGAGACATAACTACTCAGAAAATGGGTGACTAGCCTACTTGCTATCTTCATATATTTGTAGTTTTTAAAAAGAAAACACTTTTTATATGGTGAGATTTACTGGAAATGACATACTCCTGCTATAGCCAACAGCAAGTAACCTAGCGTTCTAGCAATTTCTCTACAGTCATTGCTTCAGTTGTTCTTTTTGTAGTGAAATGAGGTATCAGATAATTCCTCATTTCATCTTCACAAATCAGCTGTGTCCTTGTCCGTTGCTGATCTTTCGAAGTTAGCAACAGGAATAAATAGAAAAGGGGAGTCCAATAAAAGTTAAGCTCAAAGCGGCAGCGCTGCATTGCTCGTGGCCTGTTGGGACACATCATTCATCAGCTTCAAATCCAGATTTTTGATCTAGATTTTTGAGAGACTAAAGTTGCCATGTCTTGTCTTGTCACCCCAAAAAACACATGACTTTTTAATCAAACAAATGCAACATTCACACTCGTCCCCAATCCCGCCTCCTCTGAAATTTGATTTCCTTTATGTTGCTGGTGCTCGGCTCAGCAGTAAATTCCACATGTCCTGGCAAACACTGTTGGCTCCATTAGTCTGTTTATAAACAAGCATAATTATATGTTAATCACATTGTCATATTGTGATGTAGGCTACTTTTTAATTTGCCAGAAGGGGTCATAAGGACAAATGCTGGTTCAACCAGTTGCATGAAATCTTGTCTTGTCTTGAGGTCGCACTCCGGACCAGACCGGCAAAACCAGTAATCGACCCAACCATAGTTGCTGCCATTTAAAGTGTATGCCACCACACCCTAGATTTTTATCTAGGGTATAAAAAGTTGTTGTTATGAGGAAGACAACTATATAACTACACTCATAGGGAGTACTCAGGGTTTTTGAGTTTTTAAAGGAATGTTTCACCCACAAAATGACCATTTGTAAATGAGTTAGTCATGCTGTGTTACTTTGAATTCATAAAGAAAACTTTGTGTTTCTTGCACGCTTCCATGAAAAATGGCGAACACACTGATTTATTGATTGATTTGGGACCACGTCTAACAACAGCAAATTATTTCAAAACATCTGTCTCACACAACTCACGCAGTATAATCCAAGTCTCATTTGTCTAGTCGTATGCTCAGTACCTCCCAGACAGTCATCTTAATATAACATGTCCTCTGTTCTCCTTCTGACAGGATGCAGACAACAAGGTGGAGCGTACCTGGGGCGACTGCAGCACCCAGAAGAAGTACTCTCACGTTGACCTGGTGGTCATGATCGATGGCTTTGATGGGGAGAGGGGAGCTGTTGTGGCTGGGAGCAGAGGTTACTTTCTGAAGGTGAGTGCAGATAATAATATCCAACACATGCAGGGCATAAAGTGACCTTGCAGACAGACCAACAGCATTTTCCTTTTTAAGCTTTTTTCTCCACTAAAATAAGAAATTTAATTTGCGCTCAAAGAAGAAGCGTGACTGGCCTTCTGCTTTCTGAAACCAGCTGTTAAGTTGTTTTCCTCTCCTTTGTTGTGTTCAGGGCCCGCTGGTGTTCCTGGAGCAGGCGCTCATCAATTACGCCTTAAGGATCCTCCACAGCAAGAATTACACCATGCTCTACACACCCTTCTTCATGAGAAAAGAGGTCATGCAGGAAGTCGCCCAGCTCAGCCAGTTTGATGAAGAGCTTTACAAGGTACAGAAGCTTTTACTGGATTCCTCAGCTTTTTCTCTCAACTTGTGTTTAACTTAATAAGGTGTTGTCGTGGATCTGACTGGAGGTAAACCTCAGCTGCTGGAGGGACATTCTGTCCTGCAGAGTCCTGTTTATTGCGACTTCGAGCGGTATGAAAATGTGATGACATCATTTGATGTAATTGAAAAATCAAACACCAACCGCATTTTAACCATGAGTTTGGAGTGAGATGTTCAGGTGTTCGTATAGTGTAGTTGTGGAAGTGCCACCTTGAGGCCCAAACAAAGAGCTGCAGTCAGAGCAAAACAGCTGACTCGAGTCCAGCTGGCTACTTTAATATGCTGTATATTAATTTTTAATTCTAATAAAATAGTTTTAATGAAGTTGCCATTTGCTGTGGGTAAACATTTGATGACCATTAGACTCCACTTCACACCATTTATCAGTCTGTTATCTGCTATCAGTTCCGCTACAACATGCTCTATATTAATGTGTGTACTCAACTCAGAGGTCGTGTCCTGCCGAGTAAAGAGCCGGGAGTCGGTGCAGTGTTTGATAAATATCAGCAAAATAATTAATGACAAAACACATTAAGAGTTGCATTGATTGCACAGACAGGGTACATCCTCATTAGACAGGCTACACCAGCATTAAACTGAAGGCGCTGCATTTTCCATGTACACCTCACTGATGTTTATGAGCTTTATGAATGAATGAATTATCTTTTTACAGGATAACCAAGTTGAGTCAGATTAGCAGATTCACACAACTTGAGTCAAGTGATTCACAGGTTAGTTATTTTTGGCAAAGGGTTATTTCATAAATAAGTTAATTTAAAACAAATGCAAAGGCTAGATAGACATGGAATTAGAAACATGTTCCCCCTGAATATAACCTTGTTTATTTTTCTCAAAAGGAGAGTGCATTTATGTTTGCAGTAAAACAATACATTCACTATAATTGTGGTATGTCTAATTAAACCTTACACTAAAGGTGTGAATAAATAAATACAATCTAATAAGGTCTAATGATTATTAATGTCACAGGTTTTGATCAGTCAGGAATAGGTCTGGTTTAAAATATTAACTCTGGTTTGAGCTAAAATGCAAAAGAAGCTTAATTTTCCTTTACAGAGGCCACCGACTTTGGGCTTTTATGGCCAACAAGCCCCTTGAACCCATCTAGCTGGTTACTTTTTCCTACTGACTGGTTACTCCATGTCCTTGTGGAAAGCCTTGGCTGCACATTATTAGATAGCTGTTGTACACTCAGTGTCATTTTACATATCATGTTGCGATGAGCAATAGCTTCATATTTCAGCCTCTCTTGAAGTAACTGGGCATCAAGATGTTTAAACGTGTTCAAGAAGTAAAGGTTTAAAGTAGAGGCCAGGGTTCATTTGTACACATATTGGCCAGTGGATCTCCACGACCTTTCAGTAACTTAAAAATAATTTTCATGAGCAAACATTCTGACTGAACTTAATGAATGAGAGGTTAAAAAAAGCCCTACTACTACAAAACTACAAAATTAGGTTTTGTTTTCTGTACTTGAAGAGTTTTGTATGATGAAAAGCAGCGCAGTGGAAAACAGTTCACTGCACTGAAAATCAGTCAGATTTTGCATTTATTGTCTTCACATCGTGATGGATACTGCATATGTGAAACTGTTCTTATTGATAATGTTAACTATATCACCCAGTCTTTAGCTTCTTTGACATATATTGCTATGGACACAGGATATAGCACTGTTGTAAATACATATTTTTTCACAGTGTTAAGATTTTTTTTAAAATTGTCTTTTTAAACAAATACACAGGTCATGGTTAAAAGTGATTTTCATCAAACTGCGGAATATTTCTAAAAAATGTTTTCTATGTCTTTTCCAAAAACTCAATTATTTCATTTTCATCCAAAACTTTCTTAGGTCTTGAGAAAAATAAACTTTTAAATTCAGTGACCTTTTCAGGTTGTCTCATGACCGCGCAAACCCTGGAAATTGATTTCCGTCCATTGTTCCTCCTCCTTAACCCGTGTGTGTGTGTGTGTGTGTGCGTGTGTGTGTGTGTGTGTTTACACCAGGTCATCGGTAAGAGCAGCGAGAAGTCGGACGACAGCGCCATAGATGAGAAGTACCTCATCGCCACCTCCGAGCAGCCCATCGCAGCCTTCCTGAGGGAGGAGTGGCTCAAACCTGAGGACCTGCCCATCCGCTACGCCGGCTTCTCCACCTGCTTTAGACAGGAAGTGGGCTCCCATGGACGAGACACCCGCGGCATCTTCAGGGTGCACCAGTTTGAGAAGGTCAGCTGTGGGAAACACCACACTCAAATAAATGGCCACTCTTTGTTAACACCCATCAAATTATTAGAGTCATTAAATCATTCGAAAACTATACAGCAGATACACACTCAAGTAGTTTAAATGAGAATAGGCCTAATTTTTGTTTTGGTATTTTTGTGAAAACAATCTAATGACCTTATGGGTTTCTTTGTAGATTGAGCAGTTCGTCTATGCCTCTCCACATGACGGCAAGTCATGGGAGATGTTCGATGAGATGATCGGGACGGCGGAAGAGTTCTACCAGTCACTAGGAATTCCTTATCGCATCGTCAACATTGTCTCTGGTAGGTCTGACACACCTGCACACTTACACGAGGGTCTTTAGCAGTTTGCTTCATGTGTAACAACATGTCAACTGCTCAGCTGCAGTTTGTAGTTGCATGAAGATCCGAGCATGATATCCGCTAACTTCTTGCTCCTGTATGTCATCACAGGTGCCCTTAATCATGCAGCCAGTAAGAAGCTGGATCTGGAGGCCTGGTTCCCCGGCTCTGGTGCCTTCAGAGAGCTGGTCTCCTGCTCAAACTGCACCGACTACCAGGCCAGGCGTCTCCGCATCCGCTATGGACAGACCAAGAAGATGATGGACAAGGTGAGTGCTCTGTTTCCCTGCAGCTGTGTGGCTCGACAAAGATCAGTTTGATAATGCAACATGGCTGCTGCTCATCTATCTCCAGAATATGGACAATGTTTTATCCTAAAAACAACCTCCTCTCCGTTTGTTTTATAGGCCGAGTTTGTGCACATGTTGAATGCAACCATGTGCGCCACCACTCGAGTGATGTGCGCCATCCTGGAGAATTACCAAACTGAAGAAGGCATCGTTATTCCAGAGAAGCTCAGGGACTTCATGCCTCCTGGTAAGATGCGCTGAGTGCTTTGTGTTGTGTTGTGTTTATATAAAAAGACAACAAAACAGATGCTATAAAGAATTTTGGTCAATGAAGAAATATAAGACGAATGAATAATGAGGTGGCGGAAGGTGTTTTACAAACGACATATGACTAGACTGATTATGGGGAGATTCGTGTATCGGCTCAGTTTATTACTAATGTCTCGTACATGTCAGTCGATAAGTAACAAGAAATTGCAGAAGAGAAATGAGTGTGTCTTAGTCTCAATAAAAAAAGAAAAACTCTAAGGGATCCGTGTCAAGATAGATTGCTTATGTTATGTGTTCATTTTTAAAAGTTACTATCAGCTGACATATCATTATTGGGTATTGTCTTCAGTTTGGTGCCTTTGTTCATTTCTACTGCTGAGGCTTTAATATTGCACTTTAAAAATGTATTTCTGTCCGACTGTCTGAATCAGTTAAATCTAACTTTTAGCTGAAGAAGTACAGAGCACAGAGGACAAGAATTGAAATTTACAGTTGCAATCTGACATCTATTACACGGTGAAACATGCTGTAAGCTCAGAATAATAAAGTGTTCTGACATACTGATGGAATTACGTTGATTCTCATAGTCAGAGACGTGATGAATCGGTTTGAGACGTGTAACAAATTGCTTGATTTAATAGTGAATAGTGATGTAATACATGTGGGAGAAATAAACCTTCAGCTACAAAAGAGTTGTGTTAGACAGCTCCGTTCAGCAATGGAATGTCTCTTCTTTCAGTGGAGAAAACAAGATGGGTGCCCTTACAAAGGACTAGGGGTGTCAGTTTAAGTTCATTCTTCTTTTGATTGCCCGACACCCATTAACTTTTAAGAAAGCGGGAGTAAGTAAGTCATTTTTAAGGGGAAAGAACAGCAAAATGACGTGAAATACAACAGGCCTTTCCTTAAAGTCCAGCGCTCCATTGATTCAGTGAGTGGGTTGGGTGGGAGCTAGCTAGCGGTGCCACTCTTTCGGCAATTACAGCTGATAATGTGTGGCGTTACTGATGAAACATGGTGGCCACCCTCCAGTCCCCCAGCTGCTCATCTTTATAGTGTCTGTCAGGTTTGGGTTTCCCTCTTGCTACTAGCTTCTCGCTAATTCCTGCTATCAGCTGTTTCCTGTTTATCCACCGCAAGTGGCTCGCACGTGTGGCGTCATCAACAGCTCCTCCCACAAGTCATCAACAGCCACTCCCGTTGCGGAAGGCTGCCTCGGTCTAAGGGTTCCGGCAATGTGTCTACCCTATAAGGTGGAAAATTGGGCACCTCGGATCAACACGCCAATCCAGCTCTGTGTGTCTAAACGCTCGCAGCTTGCCAGCAAAACGGCCCAACATTCGCGGAAAATCATGGCTCAAAATGAAGCTGCTTGTACTTGTGACGCTGCTAACGGTGCTAACAGAGTTAACAGTGATAGTTACAATGCTAAAGGGAGTTTGCCACTCAAAATTTAGTCGCTTACTAATTGGGATGGCGTTACTTGCAGTAATCACCTATTGAGCAACGCCACTAGCTAACAATACCTGCCACTATACCCAGTCGGTGAGCAGTGCAGGAAACTGAAGGGAAGCAATTTTTACCTTAGTCAGACGTGAGTAACGGGTCGACATCTCTACAACTGACAAACTTCAATGCACTGCCAACGAGGCTGCTTTACATGCAAGAAAACTTTCTGCATGCTGGTGCCCCACCTCTGTATTGAAGCATTCCTTTAAGTGCGGTCACAGTTCAACTGTGGTGTTTCCTCTGCTCACTTTTCTGTGATGTTTTCTTTGTCTTATATGGTGGACCTTCTTTGTCATGCTTTTTGTTTGTTTTACTCATTTGTTTGTTTGAAGGGTTAAATGTATTTTTTTTCCACCTCCAGGTTTGACAGAGATTATTAAGTTCGTCAAGCCCGCTCCTATCGATCAGGAGATGTCTAAGAAAGCAAAGAAACAGCAGGATGGAGGAGGGAAGAAGAAGAAGCAGGGAGGAGGGGACCAGAACCTGCCCAACGCCATGGAGACCATGTCCGTCAACGACTCATAAACTCCAGCCCACGACGCCTGTGTCGCTTCACCAGCCCACACAGACAGACGCTGATGGGACAGAGCCTCATGTGTAACGATCAGAGGTCACTGTAACTGTTTGAGAATGTGGAAACCATCCTCTCTGTGTAATGTTGTTCTTATAATGAAACTAGCTCTGTCCCATCTGTGTGTCTCTGAGTGGATGGTGTGTTATTCATCTCAGCTGTTGCTTCTCCAATTCACATAAAGCACACAAACAAAAAGATCTCTGTGCTCTCATCTCCGTCTGCAGTTTACTTCAGAGTCCACTGGCCACCTGTCTGTCTGTCCGTCCCTCTCTCACAGCTACAGCAACACTGAGCCTAAAACAAACAGATGAGACCACTTGAGCTGTTTGTGGGACACATGTTGATGCATTCAGATCCAGCAGCTACATGTCTGGCTTCATTTTCACGGCAGTTAGTAGAGAAACCACAGGTTATATACAGACATGTTTGTTTCCAGGTTTTTGGGATCTGTAACTGGTGTTCAAAGGGATTTTTTGTATAACTGATCAGTTATGGAAATCATTCATCTGCTCTGTGTTAAACAAAACCTGCGTCTCTTCTGTAAAATGCAGTTGATTACTTCACGTCTGAAATGATCTTAACGTTGCGTCTAACTCGTATGATTCAGAAATCAATCTTGTGAACACGATCAGGTATCTGTGCTGTCTGTTTTAGGCTTCCCTTCATGACGTCTCTGACCACTGTCATCAACTCCGACCAGCGTTACGTGACGTCATCATTGACCATAATGCTTTTCACTGGCTTCTGATTGAGACATTGGCATCGCCTGTATGAACTCGCTAATATAAAGATAAATATATATATGATTGAGCATTGATGAAGTGGCACTCACTGAAAACAATTATTAAAAACAGTTGATACAGAAGTGATTTTGTGTCTGTGTTTTTCCATCAAGTCTTATGTTGAAATGTGATTCGCAAAGGAAGACATAACAGCTTAACATGTTGTAACATGCCTTGTTTTGGCAAAATAATGTCAGAATTACCAAATGCTATCTCCATGTAAGGTCCAAGGTATCAGTGGGAACTCACCATAACCATGTTTTCATTTAAAGGAGCAGTGTGCAGGATTTAGGGGGGCTGCAAGCAGAGATTGAGTATAAAATTACTATGTTTTTATTAGTTTATAATCACCTGAACATAAGAACAGTTGTATTTTTGTTACCTCAAAATAAGCTACATACAAAGTGGGTCCTCTTCCATGGAATCCACAGATGTTGCTCCACCATGTTGTTCTACAGGAGCCCACAACAGACAAACCAAATACGTAATCAAGAGAGACTTTTGTGTTTTTACGTTACCTGAAGGCCACTGTAGGGAGGGGTGAAGGTAGGGGTATTCATCTGGCTGCAATCTGCAACCTCACTGCTAAATGCCACCAAATCCTACACACTGGTCCTTTAAAGTGGAAATCATCCTTTAACTTATCATAATGAAGTAAATGTTGACTGCACAGTGTAATAGCTACAGAATAATGGCACCATCGCTGTTTAGATTGGTTCCTTATAGCCTTGCTTCCATTGCCGGACCCCAGGAAGATGAGCTGATGTCAGGGTGTTGGCCAGTGGGCTCCTAATAATTTTAACTAAACTACCAGTATGCAATTCAGTCTGCCGCCAGGTGTGATCTCACAGAAAAAATAGGGCTCCTTAACCATTGCGCAACCAAAACAGAAAGAGCACAGGGCTTTTGTTTTTCCCTGGTAGATTTAAATCATGGCACAAATGGCAAAAACAAAAAGCAATCTTGTAGTCTTTGTGCCAATGGTGCCAACAATAATACCACACGAAAAATGCTGGGGTGGGGCGGGGGTCAAATGTGTCTGTGTCCACTTTAATTTCATACACATCTGAACCTTTTTAATGTTAGAAATTGCTTCTTAAAGCATCTGTCCAGACATAACAGGTTAACATAAGATGCTCAAAATAGCCTGATTAGTCGACAGTAGCTCAGTCCATGGGGACTTTGGGTTGGGAACAGGAGGGTTGCATCTAGACCAAATATGGAGTGTAGACTGGTAGCTGGAGAGGTGCCAGTTTGCCTCCTGGGCACTGCCGAGGCACCCCCGAGCAAGGCACCAAACCTCCATCTGGTCAGGGCGCATGTCCAAGGCAGCACCCTTGCTCTGACATCTAATTTAATGCATGTATAGGTCCTGTTAGGGCAGGTGTGTGTATTACAACAGAGTGAAAAAAATGAACTGCTCTCTCCAATCATAGTATCAGTGGACACAAAAAACATGTCATGATTTAAGGTCATGCAATCCTGAACCATTGTAATGGAGGAATTTCTTTCTCAAACCATGTAGCAAGCCTCAAGTCTGAAAATCAACGTGAGAGCTCTTGAACATGTTACATGCAATACACAACATTGATTTTAATTCTCACATCCTTGTGCTGAACGCCTTCCATGAATCATCAGATGCATTGATGAAATTTCCAGGCACCCTGGATGTCTGATAAAGAGCAATAAGGAAGACATGACAGTTATTCATTAACTCCAACAGACTTTACACCCATCCGTTTGTCCTGCAATAAGAAGCCGACTCTGTGTGGTTTAAGTACATTTACGCAGAGGTAAGATGAATTTATTGTATTTATTTCATGATTTACACATTGATGTACCTCTGAATGTCTGAGACTCGTCTTTACGGTAGCCTGCAGGGTTCAGTTTGGCACCAGGCGTGTGAAAATGAGTGACATTTCGGATGATGATAATGAGATCTCCTTTCCAGTGAAGGTGAAAATACTGATTCATGACTGTCAGAAATCTCATTCTTTTCTTATTGTGACGTGTCATGATATTCAGCCTAGTTTCAAACACACATGTTCCCTTTTGCTTCATGTGTATTTCTTTCTTTAAACTATAGTTTCTTGGCCGGGTCGAGGTGGTCCGCCCTGATGGACTACAGGTCCTGTCTGAAGCAGCTCAGGGCCTAAAGGTCAGCAGCTACCACTCCCACCCTGTCTTGTTATTCCCCCTCATGGGGAAACAGTCTTTCCCTTTATATCATGTCCGTACTGATGTTCATGTAACTCTTCCAATGTGGCAGCCAAAGCCATTGTTGGCCATTGGTTTTTTGTGTGTGTGTGTGTGTGTGTGTGTGTGTGTGTGTGCGCACAAGACAAATAGGCACAGTGCAATGTGGATTTCTCAATGTGTTGTGTTTTTCCTGCAAGAATATTTTGAAAGCTATGATTTCAAAATAAAAAAAATGTTGACTTGCTTGCTTGGATATTTCTGCACTGTGAGAAGACTTGTATTGTGGGAGGGTTTGTATCCACTGTGTGAGCTCTATTTGAACTTGTTAAAGGGACAGTTTACCCCAGAATCAAAAATACATATTTTATCTCTTACCTGTAGCACCAGAAATCATGACCCGGTTACTCAAGATAATCCACAGACCTTGTTGTGAGCAGTTTCATATAGGAACTATTTTCTTACTAACGAACTACACCCACCAACCATATCACTGCACAGGAGGAAGTGTGCATCTACTGCTAGCTCACCTAGGACCACTGAGCTAGCTAACGTTACAGCTCAGCTGAGGAGGACGCCATTAATATTAACATCTCACGCTGTCATGAGCATGGGCCTCTAATCCATGAGTAGATGCACGCTTCCTTCTGCGCAGTGACAAGGTTGGCAGACTGTGGATTATCTTGAGTACCCAGGTCATGATTTCTGAAAAGACACATTGCTGTTAAGTTTTTCAAATGTATTTTTTTGGCGCTTTGAGCACCACAAGCCGAGTGCCATCTAGTTCCATTATATTCAAGAGAAGGCAGACATCTCTATGGCCGATATCGCCAACACTCAGCAGCTCACACCAAAACAATCTAGACTGATAAATAGCACTACAGGTATGAGGAAAAATATGTATGTTTTGATTTCAGGGTGAACTCTCCCTTTAACTCAATATGTTGGCTTTAAAGATGTAGTAAGAAACATGATGTAATCCAGCCCCTCTAATTCCTAGACATCAGATAAATATTCCTCAGAGAAGGCAGCAAAGAAGAGCAAGGTCCACCTCTTCCTGTCACTGAGTGGGATAGACATTTTGGAAAACAAAACTAAGGTGTGTGACAAAAGCGTACAGTCCAAGGATGCATATGGTTCAATTATTTGATCTCTTTTGCCTTGAATTGTTACTCTTTATCTTCTCGTTGTCTTTCCGACCCTCAGTTTTTGTTGTACTCGTGCCCTCTGTCCACCATTTCCTTCTGTGCCGTCCTGCCATCTTCACCCAAAGTCTTTGGATTTGTGGCGAGACACCCTGCAGCAGACACGAACCACTGTTATCTGTTCCAGAGCAAGAAGTTTGTGAGTATTCAACAGCTAAGCATTTCCTAAGGAACATATTAACGGTTTGTTGTTTTTATTTGAGCAGGAGATCACTAATATTAATATTGGTGATATGATTTTTCAGTCTCACGTGCTGGTCTCAGTTATCGGGGATACCTTCCAGGCTTCAAAAAAGGAGGAGAGCATCAGGGGAGGACGAGACCTGATAGTGGAGGCCCTCAGACATAAGGTTAGGTCTACTCTGCATTTTTCACTGTCAGAGCTGGGGTCACTTTTTTCTCTTCAGTTCAGGTGTTTCACTTTATTCTGTCAAAGTGCAGAACTTATATTAATCTCTTGCAAGTAGGTTCTTAGCTTAACTTCATGGGGAGCTTAATTCATAGGGAACTGATATCAACTCCTATTAACTATAAATATTTATGTTCAGTCGTGCATTTTTTAACACTTACCTAATTTTTTTCTTTTTCTTCCAGAATAAAATGCTGCAAAGAGAAAATGCTGAGCTGAGGAAGCTGCTTGCAGGACAGACTGCTGGCAACCACTTCTAATACATACTATTGCACTTATACACACATAGACATACCACAATTGTAACACATAAACTATCGACCCTGTTATACACTGTTAACCCTCAGGAAAACCTTCCAATAAAATGGTGGAACACAGAAAATGAAAATAAGAGTGGAGGAATTATGTGAATGACTGCTGGAGGTGAAAAACACTGTCAATAATAATAATCTTGATAATAAAACAGTCTGATGTTGTGTTATTACCCCTTTTCATATTAAATCAACTGTAGGTGCGTTCGCTGTACACACCAGCAGAGGGCAGCAGTAAGCAGCCAAGAACTAGGTGGGTGCGTTCAATTGCTGCCTTCACAGTGTCGGAAATCTTTTAAGTACTGCTGTACTTTCATAAAGAACCCAAGGAAGTCAAATACTACAGAGGAAGATGAAATTAGATATGACAGCAGACTTTTGCTGTGTGACTTGTACTGACTCATGACTAAGAATGTATTTAGTGTCAGTGACAACAACTAGACAATAAATCAAACTTGCATACCTGGCTTCTTGTATTTCATTGCTCGACTTCTGAAATATGTTAACATGACATACTACTTTCTCATAGGCTATGACACCCTGAACTTTGACCCTCTTCCTCATACACCCGTTACCATGGTGATAAAACAAAACAGCGTTCACCAAGCTCACCAGAGACTGAGGTCAACCTGGAGAGCTCTGCTGTTGTTTCTTTGCAAGTTATATAGTTTTAACTTTTAACTTGTAACTGCATACATTGATTCTAACATATTATAATCACAACAGTGAAATTACGCATTTCTCCATTGTTGGTATTTTTTTTGTCTTTTTATTGTTGGTAATAATCTTTATGATTATTTTGTTCACTTAAACAATTAATATTCACATGGTTACTATTCCAGTGGTCATCCGTCACTGGCACTTCTGAGAGCTGTCAGTCAGAATAGTCAGGGTAAGCCATTATTGTTTATCATAAACTGAATAAATCACCTTAAAGTGGAAATGTTGAGTGGGGAAGAGGGTTACTTACAGAGGGGCTCCCCACAAACAAAACTTGATAAATGTTCTTTGATAAATAATTCTAAATAAAGAAACTATGATGAAATAAATAATATTATAATATTATTGTGCTACTTAATTAGTTTAAATTAGTATATTTTTAACATGTTGCAACTGTCCCTTTGGTTGGGATCAGTTGGAATGTCTGACGTCTTACATTCAAATAAATGTTGTGAACAATAAGTGATATGTAATCATGTTTAAATGGTTTAGGTTACTATCAGATAGATGTAAGTTTAATGTATAAAAATGTAGTTAGTCTAGACCAAATAGTCTCTGAGTGACAGAGAGAAATGCAAAGAGTGTTGTAACCGTCCCCAGTCTCCCCTATAACCTATAAGAAAGGAAGAAGTTACGCAGGGTCCGTGAATGCAACACAACATGAAGGTATAGTCTGCAGTGACAGAAGGCACACAGTGTGCGCTGGAGTAAATCCAACTTTATGATGGCGGCGTTTAGTTATTTTGGTGTAAAAGGTGAGTAAAGTTTGTGTAACTAAGCTAACTTGTGTTACAGACGGCTGCAGTCACTGTGAACTAGCAGCTAACATGTAGCACACCTCTGTTAGCAAACAAGCTAGCTCCGGGGACGCCACGCCTGAACAACACTGCCAAGTTCTGAGTTCTGCCAACGTTACGTTTTGACTCTGTCAGCTGATTTAACAAAGTTGGCCACAGTTATTACTGACACAGAGGCGTTCAGCTGACCTGTCCTGAGGCAGGCTGCTGACACATGTCGTGGCTGACTGGTTTGTTCTCTCCATCCTGCAGACGGGCAGTAGTCGGTGGGAAACTCTGGCTTGACCATCCCGACGCGAGTTGAGCCACCATGGGGACACGGTGGTCTCGTAGCGAGAGCAGCCTGTCGCTGCTCCCGGAGAGGCAGAGCTCTGTGCGGCGGGGAGAGGACAGAGACACCGATAACGAGTCTCTGGATGGGCACGTCAGGCGGGAGGACATAGCTCAGTTCCCCTACGTGGAGTTCACCGGCAGGGACAGCATAACGTGTCCGACATGCCAAGGCTCGGGACGGATACCCTCAGGTGAGTGGCGTTAATACTTAAAGGGAGAGTTCACCTGAAAATATAAAAATACACATTATTCCTCTTACCCTTAGTGGTATTTATCTGTCTAGAAAGTTTTGGTGTGAGTTGCCGAGTTCTGGAGATATCGGCCATAGAGATGTCTGCCTTCTCTCCGATATAATGGAACTAGATGGCACTCAGCTTGTGGTGCTCAAAGAGCTAAAAAATTACATTAGAAAAAAAACTCAACATCAATGTCTCTTCCCAGAAATCATGACCTGGTTACTCAAGATAATACGTAGACCTTGTTGTGAGCAGTTTCACTCAGGAACTTTTTTTCTACCCAAGTAAACCCGCCAATTGAATCACTGGGCAAAAGGAAGCGTGCATCTACTCATTGATGTGATGCTCATGCTCTTAACACCGCAGTATGTTAATATTAATGGCATTCTCTTTGACTGAGCTGTAACAAGGATAGTCTATAACAGAGGATACCCCATTACTGCGCCAATGGAAGGAAAGGGTATACTACTAATTTACTTCCTGTCTCCTAAGTGGGTGGGGTTGTCTCTTTGCTGCAAACTCCCACCTCCTTTGGAAGTGTAGTAAATGTTGGGTAGATGGATGAAATCAGATTCAAAACAATACAACACTATACAGTACAAATTCAATGTTTGATGCTTATTTTGCTGCTCATTTTTATCTGCCAGCTTAATGTCTAATATCAGCGTCAGTTGTCACCTGGGGTTTCATTTATAAAAGAATGTATAGGATACATACTAAAAATGTACTTACAGACAAAATCCAAAAAAAGGCTTGTGCCAAAAAGATATGAGTTTCTACAATCAGGCTTCCTCCGCACCATCTGTGTCGCCAATTTCCTGTTTCCAAAATGTTGTAGGCATAGGTCAAGTGGTGTATGCCTGTTTTAGGCCTTGTTTTGTGCATACACAATGTTTTTAAATGAGACCCCAGATCTTTTGAGAGTATTTTGCTAAAGCAGAGACATGTCTCCCTACAAAGTTCATTTTCTCCTGATTTGTTTATCTGAAATGCCATTTCAGAGTCTGGATGTCTAGAAGGGGTGGGGCTTGTGAAAAATGGGTGACAATGGGGCGAAGGGAACGGTCACAATATGTACTCAAGTTCACTTCTCCCATTGTAATGAATGGACTCAGGACCGCTGCTAGTCTCCTAAAGGGGCAGGCCAGTGGTGAAACTCATGTGACACAGACAGGAAATAAATCTAAAGTGGGCCATTTTGGTTCGTCAGCAGTCTCTGGCTGTATTGCTAGCTAGCTCAGTGGTGCTAGGTGAGCTAGGAGTGGATGCACAGTTCTTTTCAAATGTATTTTGTCAGCCCATTTAGTTGCATTATATTGGAGAGAAGGCAGACATTTCTATGGCTGATATCTCCAACACTCGACAACTCACACCAAAACAATCTAGATTGATAAATAACACTATGGGTGAGAGGAGAAATATGTATTGTTAATTTCTGGATGAACTGTCCCTGTAACTTACTGAAGATGGACTCTGTCCTGGTAAAAAGTTTGGAAAATGAACTAAGACAAAGCCCTAAAGGGTATTTAATGTTGTCACAGTTTGAGTAAATGTAATTTCATTTTCAATTTCTGGTCTTACAATTCAGTCTCAGATGTGTTGAAACTTTTTTAGTTTTGCAGTTTGTGTGCATTAGCTCCTCATGCATGCAGTGACATTATATCCAAATGCCTCATACAGTAAATAGCACCAGATAAATGTCCGCATGTTTCTGTCATGTGACCTGTACTGCTCTCTTTCATTCAAACTGATATTGAAGAGCCTCAAGCGATGTTATTTAATGAAACTGATGAGCAGACAAAAACTTCTTCAAGCATAGCCTTACATGTGTTGTGTTTTTTTTAAGATGAGGAAGAGGCTGTCATTATGCAATTCCAGAGGTTTTGCCTTCTAAAAATACACTGAAACACTTAAACACTGATCAATAGGTTAAAAGACTTGTTATCTCTTCCCTGATAGATCAAGTGAATGAACTGGTTGCATTGATCCCGTACAGCGACCAAAGGCTGCGCCCCCAAAGAACGTAAGTAACCAAAATTAGTGTGCTTGAAAAGATTGTATTTCTGTGTCCACTTTACATTTAATTTTTGTTCCACTAATGCCATTCAAAAAATGGATCCAGGTGTGAACAAGTGTTGGTGTGTATGTATTGTGCACACAGAGAGTAAATTTATTTTTTGTATCGTAGGAAGCTGTATGTGGTCCTGTCAGTTGTGTTGTGCCTCCTGGCGTCTTCACTCGTGGCCTTCTTCCTCTTCCCTCGCTCCGTGATCGTGGTGGATGATGGGATACACTCGGTGACGGTGCACTTCGACCACACCAACATGAAGGTTCAAATGAACATGACGGTAGGTTTAATCTCACTTCATGAAAATGGTAGTTTTTATGCTGAATTTTAACCTGTAATCCAAGACACTGTTGCTGCAGTATCCTTTTGTGGATTTTCCCTTCTGTTTATTTCACTGTGTACTTTCTCCTATTACTTTCTATTTCTCAGAGCACTCTGAACCTCAGCAACCCAAACTTCTTCTCCGTGCTGGTACAGAGTGTGAACTGCCAGGTCCTTTACATGAAGACGGTGATCGGCACTCAGCAGCTTAACAACGTCACCAACATCCTGCCGCTGAGTCAGAGACAGGTAAAGCAGAAAATAGACATCACATTTCAGTAAAAAACACAACCTGCAGACAATGTGAGTCATGTAAGAGGCTTCTATATATTTTAAAATGCAATGTTTGTTTTATATCTTAGTAAATATAGTTTTGTGTACATAATAAACACCATCACTGGTTGGCCCACTGCATCCTGATACAAAGTTCAGTACGCAAACAAAGCTGCCATCACTGTAAAGTGTGATGTGGGCGTACCTGCTTCAGGATGTGGTCTCTGCGTGATAAACTGTTATGCATACAAGCTCGTGACTTTACTGCACAAACTCCTCCTTAAGGGTTTAAAACGTGGAGACAATAGTGCAAGAACAACACACACTGTCAGCGAATGTACACTGAAATAATAAGGCTGATGTTAATCTGTTACTAACAATGACCTAATCTCACCACAAACAGTTTTACACAGTATTTTCTGTGTAGCCAAAGCCTGATGTATCTTGTTCCTCCACACTGTTGATAACAATGAACATGCGCGTCCTCATCAGCTCTAGATATCAACAGGTTGAGCTCTGATGTTGAATAAAGTATCTGTCTCCTGCAGGTGAACTACACTGTCAGTGTGGAGATTGGAAGCAGTGCACCCTACGTCTAGTAAGTGTCTCTGCCTCAACTCATCTGAAACTGTCCAAACAGCTTGTCAGTGTCATGTAGAAATACAACATTTTTTCGCCATAAAGTCTGCTTTGAGCAGTAAGGTCTCATCGGCCTAAAGGGGTACTCCGAGGTTTAAAATGTAGACTTCCATAAAGAAGGACTTGGCCAACTAGCCTGTCCTGTTGGTCTGTGAGTTTCCCTTTTTAAATGACAAATACAGACTGTTGCTGCCTGCTGCTATGGAGAGCTATTTCCTCTCATGCAGGTGCAGAACATACGTGCCGATTGGCCGTTGGCTCTAGTCCTTGCGATGTTTATGTGTAACCTTTGGCCGAGATACAGGCGACGTGAGGAGATGGAACAGTCAGCTTTGGTTGCTGCTAGTTTGGTTTGATGTCTTGGCCTTAAGTACTACGTATGGGTCAAGTTCCACACCAGATCCTACGTTTCCTATTATGCAACACAATAGCATCTTTTGTAGAAACGCCTACCCATTTGTACAAGATGGGCGAACTGAATTTGATGCGACAAGTGTGTGGAATGCCCCTTTAACTCTATGGCAATAAAGCTGCATTTGAATTACTCAAAGAGAAAATGAGTGGAATAATGATCCAGCTCTGTATTCCAGTTTAACAATCTAACCCTTTTCTCTTTTCTTTTTCAGTGCCTTCTGCACCATGCCCAGCATTAAGGTCCACAACATTGTTGTATATATGCAGTAAGTATCTCTTTACCTTTGATCCCTATTATCAATCAGTCTACGTGTTAATTTCCCGATTAATTGTTTAGTCCATAAAATGTCAAAAACATTGCGAAAAATGCTCATCAAAATCTCCCAGAGCCTAAATTGCCTATTTAAATTGCCTCTTTTGTCAAAAAAACCCAATGATTCTTCATTTATTGCCATAAATGACAAAGAAAAGCAGCAAATTCTCACAATTAAGGAGCTGAAACCAGCAGATGTTTGACATTTGTGCTTCAAAAATGACTGTAACAATTCATAAATGATCAAAATAGGTAGTAATTATTTTTCTTTTGACAGAATTAATTAATTGTCTAATTGTTGCAGCGCTAAGATCCTGTACTTAAGTAAAAATACTGATACAAAAGTGTTAAATACCCCATTACAAGTACAGAACAACTGGCAGCAAAATACTGTATACTTAAAGCATAAGTAAAAGTTCAATACTTGTTAACTACTTTAAAAAGTTATGGGCTATTTAATGATGAAAAACTTCAACCTGTTTTGAATTTAGATGAACCTATCTTAAAATATTGTAGACAACAGTATATTTTTAAATGTAGAAAAGTGATAGAATATGGCAGGTCACAGCGCCAGAATAATGAAAAAGTTGTCTTCAAACAAGCTGATTTTCAGTCAATCACACATTTTTATACCCTTTATATTAAAACAACTCTTAAAGGACTCAATTCCAGATAAAAAAAAAAGATACAAAACTCAACATCCTACATTTTAGGAGCAACATTTTTCAGAAGAAAATTATTTGCGAAATCTGCAAAGTTCCTAAAGCAGTCAGATAAATATAGTGGAGTAAACACACAATATTCCTCTAAAATGTACTACAATAGAAGTGCTTAAGTAAAAAAACATGTTCTTCAAAAATGTGTTTAGGTACAATACTTAAGTAATTGTACTTAGTTACTCTCAACTACTGCACTGTCGTAACCTTTTGCTTATCAGCCTACAGTCATGACGCAGCTGTGTTTATCATGCAAAGTAACACAGAGAGATGATGTTGCCACATAAGCCACTTCCTCAGGGTTATTGCCTCTGATAGTTACATAAACACTTAACAGACTTATTATTGTGGCTTTGTAGTTCAAGTTCAGACATAATAACCATAATTTCATATTCTGTAAATGACCTGAAGCATTCTCTCTGCTGGTGCACTCTTCCTTGATCATGCATCCTGTCTGGAGCTCATTTATTGTGAGAAAGACAAATTGATAAAGTTCTTGCTTGTTTTCAGAACCTCGGTGAAAACCTCATACATGGTGCGAACATCCCAGAACAGCCTGGAGGCCTATCGCTACATAGACTGTGGCTCCAACACCACACAGCACCTCTCCTCTGCCCACCACAGCACCACTCTGCTGTGAGAGGAACACACCACTTCTCTGGACGAGGTGACGGAGATGTCAGCGCACACTCCAGGATTTTGCCGACATGACCACCAGCAAAATACCAAATGGTGCTTTCCTGTAAGCTGACACAGAACAGGGAACGTTAAGTAGCTGTTCACTCGTGCCTTTGAATGACGAAGCTGGAAAACAGACAGGAAAAAGGCAGCAGCTATTTTTTTTTAACTGCACATTGGTCTTCATTGGCAGCAGATAAAGGTTTTGTTGCGGTTGTTGTTGTGCAGAGAATTTGTTGCCCGAGCAGCCACTTATGGTTTGTACTTTGGGCCTGACGATGGCCTGAACTCATCATGGCTAAAATCCAAGTTTAAAAAGGCAGTCTTGCTATGTCAAACTTGCTGACAGAACGAATCACATGTTCTACTGGTGAGAACGGAGTGACAAATTAAATGAGTCATTGCCAACGAGCGCTCAGCGGCTCCAGATTTCGGACTCGAGACAAATGTCAGAGAAAGCTCTTCTCTGTGAGGGGAATGGCCGGCATTCCAAGCTCACAATGACATCGACGTGCCAGAGCAGCGATAGCATTCTATTTTGCTCTCGCTTTAATTAACGCTGCAGAGCTCTGTCTGTGTCTGCTGCTGATGTAACATCAGGCGAGCTTTCTTCAGCATAGCTTGAATGACTTTTGGTTTTGTAACACTGTGTCGGACTGAAGGCGGCTGACTTTACGAAAAGGAGAAGTGAAGTAGCTGGCATGCTGTTTTCTATTTTGAGGGATAATTTAACGAGTGTTTTTGCACCTTGAAACTAGGACAAACTGTTGAACATATTGCTTTTTCCTGTGTTATTTAACTGTTACTGAAGTTGGAAATGGCATTGACACATTTAACATGTCGCAGATGTTTTAAATGAACCGATTATTATTTTTGGTAGCTCTCATCGCAGCAAGTCTAAGCACACTGATTTTAGATTCTGGGTATTTCATCCAAAGAAGTGTCATAAAGAGAAATACTGTTCTCAGACCAGGGTTTCTTCAAGTATCAGTAAAGCTCATGTGTTGATATTAACTAGGTTACTGTGGAGTTAGTTACAGGGTCAGTCAGGTCCAAAGGTCTGTATTGTTCACACTCCTGGCTGAGACACTGAAAGAGAAATGTACTAAGTGCTGTTAAACATCTGTATGCACCATCCTGTCCACTGTGGCCTTAAAAATCCAGATGTGCAACAGCAAACAGCATTTAAACATCATGTGTGTTTGTCAGACTGTAGTAGACCTACACTGTGACTTCCTCTGCCTTATCCTTCATCTGTGTGTTTTAATCAGCTCCTCCCCCATCTGTTCTCTACAGACGTGTGTGATCAGGTTGATTTCACATTTCACGTCATTTTTAAAGGGACAGTTGTTTGTAAATTTGTGAATGAAAGGTTTTACTAGTGTTTTTTTTTAAAATTCAGTATATATTGTCTTGCCAAACGAAATATTAAAGGGACGTGTGATTAAATAAAACTAATTATGAACCAGTATATTTTGTTTCAGAGTCTTCTTATGCCTCAGGGCTGATGAAACTGTGACATGCCGTAATGGGGCATTATGTTTTTTAAGGTGTCCACCTATCAGTCCCATTTCAGTGCTCCTTGAGGACATTTTTCTTCAGATTTGTCATAAATATCCACTCTGCAATGAATTAGATTTTGGTTGTTAAAATTCACTGTGACCTCATATTCATCCCATTCTTGTGAAGGCTTTGTCTCAGGAACAGCTTGAGGAAGTGCATTCAAATTTGGCACAAATGCAATTTCTTTCTATGATGTACAGACCGCAACACTCATTCATTCGTTTACTGAGTGTGTGTTTACTGGAAAAACTGCACCCATACTTTAATCCTTGTAATAATGAATATGGTTCAAACCTGGGGCTGATGATAGTTGTTCCTGTCAATCGTACAGAGTGAATGGAAGCTTCAGAAACTCTGATTTGTGATATGCAGTGATATTCACTAAAATGCAACTTATGTGTTTGATTGCAATGAAGAGTTTTGTCAAAAAACAGAAGAGTTGATTATTCTAAAAAGGAAATAATATGATTTATCTATGGATAAGATGTTTCATAACAAATCTATTTCTTTTGAATTGATTTTGATCAGGGGAATTACCCACAATGCAAAGGTTAAAATGGCAATGATGTAATTCCCTGTTGTAAACTAGAATTATTGCCTTGTGGTTGTATGCCGTCGAGAACCAGTCAAGTTTCAGTTGCAGTTTATATCCATGTTAATTCAGACTTACATGTAACCATGATAGCAAACAATAATTTAAATAAAGATGATGAAAGCCATGTATTCTAAAGTGTGGATGCTTCACACACATCTTCTTCCAGCAGCGAAGACGATTTATACAATGAGCACAGTTTCAAGTTTGGCACCAATTCAGTACCTGACCAAATGTCTCCCCTTTTGTTCGTGAGATATGACGTTGAATAATGGCCAGAAAAATGTTTTTGCAAAGATTATGATGTCACACTAAAGTTTGACCTTTGACCTTTTGGACATATAATGGCATCACCGCATCATTCTATTCTATGAGGTGTTTGTGTGAAATTTGTCATAGTTAGCATATGAATTCCTGAGTTATGGCCAAAATCTCTTGTGACGTTTTGGACGTTTGTGCAAAATTGGAGGATATTTGGTCATGGCGTTCTTGAAATATCATGTTCACGAGACTGAGATGGATGCGAGGACCCTTGACTACCAAAATCTAAATAGGTCATCATTGAGTCCAAGGGGACATTTGTGACAAATTTGAAGAGATTCCCTCGAGGTATTCTTGAGCTATTGGGTTCATAAGAATGGAATGTACATAATGCCTCCACAGCTATCACTGGCATGACGGCATAAAAAATACTTTCTTAACTTTTTCAGTATAAAGACTATGGGTGGGGGGAAAAAAATCAATACTTGCATCGCAGTTCTCTCTTGAAAGTTTGTATCATGATGCAGAAAAGTCAATAATGAGAAATGTAAAACCCAATTCTTAACATTATGATTGCCTGTAACAAGACTGGGCTTTATGTTCCCTTTGGCTTTTATTTGACCATGAGGCGATCTGAGGAGAGATAAGAAGTGGACGCTCCTTTGTTAGCAAAATGACCTAACTGCATCCCTCCTTGTTAACCTTCCATCCTTCTCCATCTCTCAGTTCCAGACCCAGACGCTGTCCTATCCAGACACAGACCTATCATCAATAAACCACTGAGAATTATTTAATATTAACAGAGATTTTCTTTTTGAATCAGCGCATCTTTGGAACACTGTTTAAGCAACTACGAAACTCACAGACCAATTGCAGGTGTTAAATCATCTTTCGTGATTCTTCTTAGCCAGTCAAATCTGTGCATTCTGATAAGCGTTTTGTCTCAAGTGAGTGAGATACAGGGCCGTCAGTGGCTTAGTGGTAGAGCAGGTGCCCCATGTACAAGGCTGTTGCCGCAGCGGCCCGGGTTCGACTCCAGCCTGTGGCCCCCTTCACGCTCATCTGTCCTATCAATTAAAGGCTTAAAAATGCCAAAAAAAATATCTTTAAAAAAAAAAAGTCAGTGAGATACACACACACACACACAGTAAAGACGAGACGAGAGACAACAGTCAAAGAAGAGTCGAAGAGTCAGAAAAGTAATTTTACATGGCATGTTCTACAAATCCCATGGGCAGTTCAAATCCAGTTGAGCAAACATACCTACTCAAATCCACACTGAGGGCACAGATAATGGTCCATCCCTCATGTTAGAAATTAAAAAATTACCTACCGAGGTCGGGCAAGCACCCAAAAGTAACAAAAATGAAGGCTACCACTGATGTCTCTCTTCAATATTTTGACTGCTAGGTACAAACAACTACTTTCTTTAGATTGCACAGTTACACACTGTTTATGTCTTCATCTTGCTTTTGTTGGCCGCATTAAACCTCTCCCCTTGTAAGGAAGATGCCTATGAACTTTTCATTTTCCACTGTCAGTGTCAACATTGAAATTAGAATCAATCAATAATCCACTCTATGTTGTAAACAAGAAGTCTTAACAGAATAAGCAACACAATAAATTCCCACAATGAACTGCCATATCTTACACTCTTACCCAGTAGTTAGAGCTCAGCTCTGTTTAATAAACATCTCAGTGCTTTGTGTAAGAAACAATATGCAGAATAACCAGAGCAAACAGTTCTAGGTGCCACCACGGAAGTCCCACCCCTGTTTTCAGTGTCTGGTAGATTGGGTATGAAATGATCCAGATTCTTAGTCTGGTTAGATATTAAAGTATTCAGTCTGAGCAAACCATTAACATTGGCTAGTCTCCTATTTATTTTGAATTGGAAAGAATTAGAGATTACAGGTGGTAATTTAATTGTTAAATTGACTAAAGCATCGGGATATGATTAGGAAATGGGAATAAAAGAACTGATGTTTTATCACCAATCACTCAAATACAAAAAAAAATCCTCCAGGGATGACAGATAATGGGTTTTCTATGCAGAAAAATGCAGCTATTACAATTTTGAAAAACTTATTTGAAAGAGACAGTATGATGTCATTTGACCAACTAACTGAAACATAAACTACCTCAAACACATTTTTTTTAGGTTCCAAAAAGTTAAAAGATTTTTTACAGTTTAATAAAAGACAAAGCAATAAGTTTATAGTAAGGCGATGTTATGAGGCCCTGTACAAGTCGAGCAAAGTGAACTGTGCAGTCTTACAAACATGGGCTCAGGACATTGGGGTGCAGATCATAGATGAAGCTACAAGGATAGATGTTTAATAATAATAATAATAATAATAATAATAATAATACATTTTATTTGTATAGCGCTTTTTAAAACACTCAAAGACACTTTACAAAAAAACAGAAAGAACAAATTAAAAACAACAACATAAGAGCAGTAAAACACAGTTAAGAGCAAGGATGGGGATTGAATGCAAGCCTCTACAGGTGGGTTTTGAGCAAAGATTTGAAGGAGTTGAAAACAGTTACGGATGTGTTGGGGGGGAGAGTTCCAGAGGGAGGGGGCAGCAGTGGAAAAGGCTTTGTCCCCTCAGGTTTTGTGCTTGGTCCTGTGTGGTAGAGAGAGGAGATTTGCATCAGAGGAGCGGAGACTGCTGAGGGGGTGTGTCGGTGCAACAGGTCAGTGAGGTAAGAATAAAGAGAGAGAAATGCTAATGAAAATCAGTGAAAAATAAAAGAGACAAGTAGCCTGAAACTAAAATTGAGATATGAACAAATGTGAAAATATAGGCCTAACTGAATAGTGTCAGTCTTTCTGTCTCTGTCAGTCTTTCTGTCTCAGTCACTGGCACGCGCGTTGTTTCTATGACATCAAATGTCATAGAAACAGAACGGTGACCCGGCCGAGGTCACGTTTATAAAGCCTTCAGATCATTGTGATCTCTCACTTTGCACTTGGATTTGGACCAGAACCAACCTGTGGAAAGATTACACTCTGAGATTTGAGCAGAAAGCAGAAGTTTTTGGAAAACACTTTTCAACCTTTGGACCACTCAACTTTGTGGAAAACCCGAAGATGGCCCCCAGGGACTTAGAGCTACCAGGTAAGACAACTTCTAGATTTATTTTAGCATTTTACTGGTTGACACGACCTCTGAAATTGTTAAAAGGTTTATCAGTGAAGAAATTAGTGTCAATGTTTGGGTTTAAAAGTTGAACAGTTCACAGCATGTTATTAGGTCTGCCAGAAACTCCAGATTTGGTGAAAACAGACGCTAATGTCTAATGATCACATTCTTGTTATCACACTAATGCACCGTTTGTCGAGTAAGTTGATATTTTTGATGGACAGGATGTATTAAATCTACTGGGACACGTGCGGAATGTGTTAATAATTAATGTAGTGATTTGAAAACACTGCTTATTTGAGGGTATCAAATTATTGACATTTGACAATCTGTGATCAGTTCTACTACAAAAAAAAAAAAAGATGGCGACCGGGTCGAATTTTAAACAATATAAAAAATGTTATCATGTTGTGCGCCATGGCAACGATGGCACTATTAGGAGCGAACGTCAGGACGTGAGGATGCACAGATGTAATCAGACCAGGGCACGGTGTCCTCAGTTCGTTTGTTTTGATTGTTGAAGCATTTTGTATCTGGTTCTCTTAGTGTCAAAGTAGGCTATATCATATTAAATAAACATATTTTCAATATTTAATATTGAAATGCGCTTCGCTCGTTAGTATGGTATTGTGTTTTAAACTTGTAGTTGGGTCTGCACAGAGCTCACTGAGGTATTTTTTGGATTTATGTAGCCATGGTGCACTGTACGTGATGACGCATGTAGTGCGACGCATGTGAAATACATTTATGCTGTTTATTGCAAACCATGGGGCGTTTTGTCATCACTGAAGTGATGTGGATTGATCACAATGTTTCTGCATCTTTATTTGATGCTATATAATGCAGCATTAATTGATTGTCATGCTGTCATCTGTTCAAACTGGAGGCTGAGCTGCACAGTATTTGATATTACTGTTAGAAGGTGTAGCCCCTTGTGTGTTGGTGAACTTTGATACTGATGTAGTGCAGCTGTATTTAGTATGTGTATGTTGTAGTGTTTTCTAATTTAAATTTTGATTGCTGCTTATTCGATCCAAAATATTTAAAGAGAGACTTAATCAGAAATCCTTATAATATATGGCTAATATATTATAAGATAAGGGCTATTTTCACCCGGGTGCAAATATCAACATATTGCTATTTGTACCGGGTACAGTTAGAAGCGGATACTATTCGTACCCTGGATTATAGTGATGTGTGCTGCTTATACCCACCTTGGTGCAAATATTTGTAGCCTACTCTCATTTTGTACAACTAAACTATTATCTTCTCAACCTCAACCCTCAGGACCTAGGTTAGCTACATAGCTAACTATCCTACCATTACAATGCAACCATGCCAAGTGTCTTTTCTTTAAGCGGATTTATGGTTGTGCGTAGACCATACACACGTCGCCCACACCGTTGTGAGCATTTTTACTTCTGCGGTGGTGTGTCTGTGTCACTCTGCAGTAACACCGCCAAAACACTTAGTCAGCGGTGGAGGTTTCTGTGAAGTGCTGTAAAGTTTAGATGATTTAAAACACATTAAATATGGCTTAATAGAGACGATTTGAAAAACAAGTACACAAATCAGCTTCACTATAACTTGAAGCATTCACAGACAAACACTTGTCTTTATCTGGACACATTAGAGAGAGGATTTGTTACGTAGCCTAACTGTACGTGACTGACTGTGTGTGCGTCCTGCGTCCAGGATGAGATCGCCTGCTACA